GCAGGGGCTTGTTTGGCACAGCCAGGGCTGCGGGGCTCCCCCTGCCAGGCTCTATTTTTAGGAAGCCAGGAGAAGTAGATGCAGCCGTCACAGAAGAAGTTTCTAGTGCAATTTGTGGTTTCACAACTTCGGTGAGGCTCAGCATCAGCAGTTTAGAGACCGGGTGCTCTCCATGGTTGAGCACAGCAAGGCTGGCATCACTGCCCAGATGTGCAGCCCAGATGTGGTGCAAGAGCCACATGGGGCCCCTCCATCCTCTGTGGGGTCACAGGGGCTTGTTTCTCTGCCTTTCCATGCTCTCCACCCGCCTCAATGCCCTTGGGAAAGGCCAGCTCAGAGTACATCCGTGAGTGGTATAGCAGGGCAGGGAGGTGAGGAGGGAAGGGGGCACAGGGGATGATGGCCTTCGGAGCAGGGCAGCTCAGAGGGACAGCAGCACCCCAGTGCCATCCCCTGCAGCTCTTCCCAATCGCTTTTTGCTCTCTGGAGGGTGGCAGAGAAGGAGCAGATGACCCTTCACATCTCTGAGGAAAATGCAGTGGAGATGGAACTCTACACCCTGCTCTGATCTACCTGCTGGGCAGTGGGAGCCTGGGACAGCTCGTGTCCCCGTCTGCTGGAGCTTGGAACCTTCGCTGACCTCTGCATGGTGTCTGCATGGCTGAGGGCCATGGCGAGCGGTGGGCTGCAGCCTACCATTACCACCATGTGGCTACAACCACCGTCTTCTGCTCTCTTCTTCCACAGAGAGACGTGACCTTCATAAGTAGTGACACCTTTCTCTATCCCTGAGGCTGCTTCTTGCTGCTCTGGACTCCAAGAGCTTTCTCTCATTCATAACAAGGTAAAAAATGAACGGAAACTGCAATGCAACCTTTTCTTCTCCGGATGCTGGTGATGTATTCTGTGGTGTTCTGGCTATGTCTGTTCCCTCTTCCTCTCCAGTGATGGTGTTGTCCTGGAGACATGACAGCTCAGAGGATGCAGGAGAGGGAAAAATCTAAAGAAGTAACAAAGCAAATGGTGGAAAAGCTCAAATTTCCCTCTGCCTGTGGCCCTGTGCTGAAGGGACTGAATTTAGGTTTCTCATAGATTCCCTTCTGCATCCCTCCCACGGCATCACAGGCAAACTCCTTTTGTGACTCAGAATAAAATCTTCTTTTTGAATGTATTGTTCTTAGTACTGCATAGCACCCAGGTTTTGTTAATTGTAAAGAGCATGTGGGGTGAACAGCACATTTTAAAGAACTACTCACAAAACCTCAGTGGGCATCGAAAAAAAAAAAATCTTCTCATCAGCTTTCACCTTGCTGCCTTCAGAACTGCTCCCAGCCTTTGACAGATCACCAGGGCAGGCAACCGGATGTTTTCTCAGTAAACAAAACTCTAAGCACCGAGTACAAGTGGAGACAATTTGCTGATCAGCGGAAATACCACAACTAGGTCAACAGGAATGCAAGCGATGGATCACATTTTCCCATTGTCTCACCCAGGGGTTATCTGGCTGGAGGAACTGTGCCGTTTTGGGTTCGCCAGTAGATTGGTATGGTTATGGCTGGGAGGGTTTGGAGGGTGAAAGAAAACCCTGTTGGTTTCTTGGTGGTGGGCTCATCACCAGGTGAAGGTGTGACTTCACCTTCGCTGGGGTTATTGCATGTAGGCAAACTCTTCTCTCTGGTGTTGGGTCCTCCCTCTGTTGCCCATTGTCCCTCTGGACCATGCCTCTCTTTCCCCAAGGCTGTGTCACCTCTCTGCTATGCCTCTCCCATATTTGTACAGCAGTCAAGAGGTCAAGGATGTGCAACCATGATGCTACCTTGCCCTGGCATGGGTTAATGTGGATTTTGAGGATTTTAAGTCTTTCCCCCCATCCCTACCATACCTGTGAAGCAGTGAAGTTGCAACAGAGCATGTCCCCAGGGGCCAACACCACTGCATATGCTGTGGCAGCTCTGTCCTCCTGGGCTGGCTGGCTCTGAACAACAACAGTAACGAGATGGCCCGATGGGGCTCTGCCTTCCCCAAAGCTCCATTAGCACCTCCCAGTAGATTTGGCATGATTGACAGCAACTCCCAGCTTGAGCTGGACAAGCTACAGGACCTGGTGGTGTGGGGTGGAGGAGGCAGCTCCCAAGGGCTTGCTCCCAGCCAGCCAGCATGGCGAGGGGCTGGATTGCCAATGTGGAGCAATGGTTTCCGGAAAAGAAACTGCCAGCCTGCCCTCCTTACTGACGAACCTCTGCCAGGATCCACATTGTCATATTTTCCACCCAGTTTCTCCTGTCAGGGTGCTGGTGACTAGTGATTCTCAGTTTCCTGGTTTGCAGCACAAGCTGTCCAACCCTCCAGTAATGTTTTGTGCTGTGTACCCAAAACCAGAACCTTTCCCCATCCTCCTCGCCCAACCCGGCAGCCTTCCAAGGCTGCCACTGGCTCTGGACTCCCCAGCAAGGTACATTCCATGGGGCCAGCGATGCACTTGGGGTTTCTGGCATTACCTACAGGTTCTCCTCATTTTGGTGAAACAGTGACAGGTGGCTATCTAGAAACGGCTTTGAAAAGGTTTTGTCTGCCGGGGACAGCCAGGGCTCAGGAATAGCTGTGCAAAACCTCACTTGCTGCTCTCTGCAATGCTCATTGCTGTGGTTTCACACGTTATCGGCTGCCTCTCAGTCCAAACACTCAGGATTTGGGGAAAGTATTAAGTGATGAATTCTCATGTCGTTTTGTTTCTCATGTAGAGACTTCCCCCAAACGTGAGCTTCAAATTCAGAGGAAAATCTGAAGAACCATTGAAAATGCCAGTGAACGCCATGGGGCTGAGGCACAGGGGGAGAACTTTGATGAGTGGGCACTGCTACCTGCCATGGCCTTGTGGCCCTCAGCTGTATAGGGTGTCCTTGGGAATGTCCACCACGAAATGGCATTTTGCCTGTGGCAAGCTCGCCATGGCAGGGATATTGTGTAGGAGCTCAATGTCAGATCAGATTCCTGTGAGGAGGCCAGGGCTGACCTTTCCAAAGATAATGCAAATTTTAACATTAAAAGGTATAAAAGCAGTGACTTGGTAGTGCCCCCAGGCTGTGTGCATGTCCCATACACAGCAGGAGTGCAAGCCCAAGGGACCAGGACCAAAGCCCAGTGATGCCAAGGGGATCCCCTTTTGCCACCCAACACGGTGCATCCCCAGCACTGTTTGGGTCACCTTGCTGCTGCCAGGAGGATGCTCCTGCGGGGGCTGGGAAACCCTGGTGAGCTGAGGCGTAAGGCAGCCTTTGGGGCACAGGCACACAGGGGCAGGGACCCCAGGGGCCACTCTCTCCTCTAGACAGCAAAAGTGACACTAGAGGGCTGGCCCTGGAGCTGGCAGCCCCATCCCAAAGCTCCTCTCATCACAGAGGGGTGACAACCCTGGCATGGTGAGGGGTTACATGGCTCCAAAGCACCAGCTAGGGCCTCAGCCCCAGGCTGTCCTCTGCCCAGCTGCTGAACTGCTGCCCACAAAGACCCTGGTGCCATCCCACACTTGTGATTTGGATGCTATAATTAGAACACAGCGACCTGCCAAGGTCAAACTCTGACTTGGTTGCAGAGATGTTTGCGCTTTGTAGCCAGCTTTTGCATTTGCTCCTCACAGCGCCCTAACCACACAGGACAGGATGCGAGAGAGTGGGTAGATAGCAAAAGCGAATGCTGGACTCCATCCTGCATGCTTTGAACAGCCCCAATAAGGTGCTGTGTACCCTCCTCTCCTGGGCCTGCTGGCAAGCAGCGCCTTGCTCAGCACCGTGCTGCTTCTAGCAGGATCCACTCCTTTATTTTCTGCATGCACATCTGATAAGAGCATCGCCTTCAGCATGTTACTTTCAAAACAACTTTACGTGCCTGTCTTCAAACCAGCGCCCCAGCCCTCCTCACAGTACAGCCTCGCAACCTTCCTCCTCTGCACCCCAACAGAGACCCAGATTTATCCCCTTTACATGGAGAAAAGGTCTGTTCCCTGTTGCAAGCATTGAGGACCCCTCTGCATTTACCCTAAATTATTTTATTGGCTGTGCATGGCTGCTCAGCTGTTGGATTCCTGAAGAGCTTGGGGGCAGGACCTTACCTCCTTGCTGCCACCTCAAGAGGCATGAGGGCATAGAGGGGACATGGGTTGCCCAAAGTTACACAGAGGCAATGCTGGGAGGTCAGCAGCTGGCAGGACCACCCAGCATCCTCAACAGTCCTTTTCATGCCCAGATAATCAGATATAGGTAACACAGGTAAGTGAGAACTGGGTCTGAGATGGCTTGTGCCCTTGGGTGCAGGGTGAGCACCTCACTAGGGTATCAAGAAAGCTGCTTAAAAATTGCCTCTCCAAAGTGACAGCCAAGAACCAAGACCCAAAGTCCTGCCATCTGTCTAGCAGCATGAAAACTGAGCCCACACTAGGGTCACAGTGCCCATAGAGACAGTCCTTTCTCCAGGATCATCCAGCCTGCCCTGGCAGGGACTTCACCCATGCAGAGCACAAGGGAAGGCCAGAAACCAGCACAAACCACCTGCCTCAGCCAAGTGTCTTCACTGAAAAATCATCCTTCTCATGAAAGAAACAGAGGGCAATAAGTCTTTCTTCCCCTTTTGAGAAACAACTGACTTTCCAAGTGCTTCCTAGCCCCTGGCAGCTCACAGTGCTGTTCAGCTCTCTCTGTGTATTCATAGTCTTCATTTCTTTGAAGACAACTTGCCGTGAAACTTTCATCCACAGCAGTAAAGAAACACCAGGGCATAGTCTGGAGTGTTTCGAAGGCAAATATGAATACATGGAATAAGAACCTCTCTCTGCTTCTGGTAGAATGGTAGGAAAAAGCATGGAAGTGCACAACAGAAGAAAGTCTAAGCAACCTTTTTTTGTTGTGGGAGACAGTAGTGAGCAAACCTACCCACTACGAAGAGTTTTTTCCAGGAAGTGTAGGTTGCTGCAACCTGTATCCCTTGAGCAGTGGGTGCTCACACAACAGTTCTCATGCTACTTGCAAGCAGCACATTAGAAGGAGCTCCAGCAAAGCGCACAGAGGATGAACGAACCCTACAGCCCTGCGATGCCCCGACCCATCAGTGGCACCTCAGCCAGTACCATGAAAATGTTCATGGGCTTCCTCGCTGTATTTATTGTAGCACAAATGATTGGGACAGTACTCTTCTGTTTGTATCTTCACATGAAGATGGATAAGGTAAGTGGAGAAACAAGGTTGTTTCTGCTGGATTGCTAACATGATTTGCCTTCAGCCATGGCAAGACATATGCTCACCAAAAGGATGAACACAGTAGAAGATTATGCTGGTCACTGGATGGATGCGGGAGTGCCATTTATTACACCCGTGTTCTCATTTCTGCTTTAATTTGCCATGTATGCTCAGGAAGACATCTGTTCCCTTCATTAACAAAAAGAGAATGGATCAATCAAGATGAGCTGTTAAGAGCAAACCTGGCAGATAATGACCAGCCCAGGGAGAGGAGAGTGTGGCTTAAACACACAAGTGGCTGTTTTAGACTTGGTGGTGTTTTTGGTGCCGTAGCACTTGACAGCACTGTGACACTAATCGTGAGGATGGTCCAGAAATGTAACTTTTTTTCATGTTTGCATGTATGAATTTTACCAACATCTCATTTCAGATGCTGTCTTTTCCTTCTTCACAGGGAAGAAAAGTGAATCTTAGTACTTTGTCTTTTTTTGAAGACACACACAGTGTCAGTGATCCTGTCCCATACTTGGGACAGTATTTACCAAAAAAATTATTTATTATTATTATTATTTTAAAAATGCAAAACTGGTTTTGAGGTTGCCATGACTGCAGCTGCACTGCACAATGCTTAAAATCACCAACCTAAAGCTACTTTCATCCAAACCAGAAAAGACTACCAGCTAAAGAAATGAAATGTCTCTAAAACCCAGAATGAGTTCTCCTTGCCAGATACAATGACAAGATCATCATTACCGATTTTTAAACATGTTGCCTCAACTTAAATTGAAATTTAAGTGGGTGACTTCTGATCTTCAAGGGTGGAGAGCGATCCTGAGAAGGCTTGAAAGTCAGGGGGATGGAAGGGGACTTTGCCGCACAGAGTTTGCAGTGGGGTGAAGGCGTGAGTAGAGGGTCCCTGGCAGGGAGGAATCATGACTGAATGGGGCTGTGGCAGAGGATCAGAGGTAGACGAAGTGCAGTCACAGGTGACAGGAGGATTTCAGCTGCCTTCAGAGATTGTAGCAGGGCTTTAAATCCGACCCTCTGTATCCTAGTGCTGCCTGCGCTGAGTGCTCTGCCAGGCTGCGTGTCCTCATGGCCATCTACAGTTCTCTTTACTGTTTAGTTGACTGTTGGGTTTCTACAAAAACAAGGCGTAATTTCAAAAATCAGTATTTTTTAATTATTTATTTATTATTTTCTCGTCTTTCTGATTTTTTTTAATTCTGGGGTTTTTTTAAACCTGATTTTTTTTTTTTTTTAATCTGAAGTTCTTGGCAGAATTCAGCCCCAATCCACAATCCATTTTGATCTCTTGGCAGCTCTTTTAGTCAATAAGCTAGCCAAAAAAAATGGAAAGCCACCCTGCATGTACAGGGCAGTGCAGGTCTGAGCAAACATCCCAGCTGCTTGCCAGGGCCACTGGTGCAGCAGTGGCGAGCGCTGAGCCACTCATTGAGATTTCTGTGCCGCTGTCTGTAAAAGCAGGTGGGTGGATATTTGCCACCCGCCTCTTGGAAAAGGCACAATGGGAAATTTAAATTCATTATCAAGGTGACAGAAAACAGGAAGGGATCCTGAGCAATTCTCTCATCCAGCATTGCCCAACAGGGTCAGCCCTGTGGGTGCAATTCCCAGCGGATACGGGTGAGGACACTGTGCTGAGCAGCTGGTGGGAGCACTTGGTACCTGCGGTGTGTCTGCCCGGCTCATCCTGATGCTGAACAACCAACCCTGAGCTTTCCAGGCTGCGTTTTATTGCTAGCAGGCATAAAGTGTGGCTCCGCTGCCAGCCGTTGCAGGTTTCCAACTAACATCCCATTCACCCTCTCTTCTCTCCCCCGCCGGCAGATGGAAGAGGTGTTGAGCTTAAATGAAGATTACATCTTCCTGAGGAAAGTACAGAAATGTCAGACAGCAGAAGGTCAGAAGTCGACATTGTTGGACTGTGAAAAAATTTTAAAGGGCTTCCAGGACCTCCAGTGCAAGGTACACTGCTGTTAGGTGGATAAAGACCCTGCTAGAGGTGGAGGGGGGGCTCCCAGGCACACACACAGCTTCACCCAAGCTTTTTTTAAACCCATGGTTGTACCTTGGGGCTGCATAACACATGCCCTTTTTAACACTATATTATTTTTACACTCTATTTTTACACTATATTTATATAACTGAAAAATCTCATCCTTTTTTTTTTTCTCAAAATGGTCTTGGCCAGAGTACATCCAGCTGCGGCATGCTGAGGGATGCTCAGGGCTAGTGGTGGGAGAGGTGGAGCTGCAGTCACCCTGGCTCTGCGTTTTGATCACGTTCTGAAAAACGTTGGCTTTCTGCTGTCTGGCACCTTGCTTCGATCCTGTGCTGGGTGGCTGTGAGGATGCTTATGGCCATCTGCTGCTGGGAGAACTTCTATGCCTGCTTTGCCCAGATGTTGGTGATGGTGCAAGGCTTGGGCCGGGCGGCATGGCTCCCAGCAGCCAGCAAGGAGGAGGAGGAGAAGGATGCTGCGCAAATGCCACCCCATGAGCTCAGGGATGGCACCTCCAGCTGGTGCAGCGGATCCTCACGTTTAGGTGCGAAAGAGCCAACCTGCACAGCAACGTCCTCCTGGAGTGGCTGAAGGTTGCCCAGTCAGGGATGAGGTGCTCTCAGCCTGCTCAGCCCTTGAATTCACTGTTTAGGAGGGGCTGTGCTGGCCAGAGCAGGCAGAAGAGGGACATTTCTTCCTCATTGTCAGTGCCTAATGACGTCAAATGCCTCAGCTAAATCTTCGCGTTTGCATCGGTACCCAACTGACAACAGAAAATTGTGTCTGAGATGGGTCCTGCCCAGCAGTCCCGAAAACTCCCTCTTGTAGGGGCAGGGACATGCCCGGCTTGCTGGGCAGCATCTACAATATGGTTCTCTGACACTGCTTTAAATGAAAAGGAGATGGGCTTTTTGTTTGTTTCTTTTTTTTTTTTTTTTCCAAATAGACTTTCCCCATCACATCATTTTAATTGTGAAAAACCTAAGATCATAAACCCTGCAAATGCCCTGCTGCAAACAGCCAGACAGCCCACGGCTGTATGTGATGCTGGGGAAGGTACTGGAAGGGCTCTGCAGGTTCGGGTGCCCTTTGCCAAGAGCTGGCAGGGCTGGCAGGGCCAAGCACCACCAACCTGAGTGGTGACCAGAGCATCCTTTACACAGAAGCTTTCAAAATTACTGATTTGTACATCTGAAAAAAAACCCAACATGTATTTTTGCTGTTTTTACAGGATGGGGGAGCCAGCAAGGGGCAGCCCAAGTTTGAAATGCAGAAAGGTGAGTTTCCTGGTGCTGCCAGTGTACTCATGGCTTGCTAGGGGCAGAAGTAGCAGCTTGGCCTGGGAAGGCATTTCCTTCACCCTGCAACAGCCCACTGGTGCCTCAGGGCATGGAATGGAGGTAGGGGACAGGGTCAGGGTTTGGAGCATCCCCATGGTGGTAGGCCTGTGCATGCCATGGGGCTGGCAGAGGGGGGCACTGGGCATGGCTGTCTCACCAGGGCAGAAGGCTCTGGATGCCACGTTGCCTGAAGTCAATGAAAATGAATCCAAAATTTAATCCATGGCCTTTTTGCATTGCAGGCCATGAGCACCATGAGCATCCCCATTTGATGCACAAGAACAATACATCAGTGGCAGGTAAGGGGCAGGCATATCCAGCTCCTGTTCCCACGGCAGGCAAGATGGCACACCCTCCTCCGTGGGCTTTATCCCTCAGAGGCTCCACCTTGAAGGCAACTGAGTGTCTTTGCTGAGCAGAGGCCTGATCCTGCCTCACTCAAAGCTGGGGGGGAACTTTGGAGACTGTGTCTAAGCTGGATTTGGCCCATAGAGAATTACCAAGAGTGGGAGGTGCCACAGTCCCTGCAAAGGAGCTGTGCTGCCCAGGGTGGGGGATAGTGAGTGCCAAGGCATCAGTAACACCGGCCGTTCTGAATTGCAGCAGAGAAGAGGCAGCCAATTGCAGCCCACCTGACAGGTCAGAAGAGCAGCAAGACAGTCTCAGGTAAGACAGACCTGCTCAGCACTGCCTTGGCCAGGGACCCAGTGGGGCATGGCAGTGTGCATCCCCTGGCTGGACCCTACAATCCTGCCCCGTGGCTCTGTAAGGACAGGGACAGGGACCCTACAACTCCAGCATGAAAGCATATCCCTAAAGCACAGCAAACCTCCCAGTGGTCACATCACCACATGTACCTGTGCCACATGGGGTTCGTGCATCCCGTGCTGGCTGTCCTCAGTAGGCTTATATATGCCTTCCTAGAAATGCATCAAAATGGCTTAATCTTTACAGTGGTTTTTAGGAGGAGGAAATTATTTCTCTTTGTATTCAAGGAAACCAACCTCTCACTTTTCTTTTGGACTCAAAAATGCCATGTTTTCTTCTCCTGGACGTATCTTGATAGGGTGGCTGCTGCAGGAGGGCTCTGCTGGCATACTGTATTACAGAAACATAGAATCACAGAATGGTTTGGGTTGGAAGAGCCTTTAAAGATCCCCTAGTCCAACCCCCGTGCCATAGGCAGGGACACCTTCCACTAGACCAGATTGCTCCAACCTGGCCTTGAATGCTGCCACATTCTTGAATACTGTGGGGGGACAGCCACAGCTTCTCTGGGCAACCTGTTCTAGTGCCTCTCCACCGTCTGCTGAGGTGTATCTGCTGGTCTAATCATCTGCTCACTTGTAGTGGTCCTGGTAGCAATACAGGCTGTCTGATGACTTTACAGTTGCAACATAGATAGCTCCAACCTGATTTAGGCAAACTGCACTTATCCACAACCATGGCCATATTAGGTTTGAGAAACACATGAGTTCATTTGCATTTGTGCATCCCTCTGAACAGATCGTGGTTGCTCTCACAGTTCTGTCCCACTGCATAGTTTTAGTTAAGGGACATTCTGCAATAGCAAGGATTACCGAAGTGAGTAAGAGCTTGCAAGGTCAGTCTCTGAATCTGGCAAGGATTTTGCAATCTGAGAATGTTTTATTTAATTCTGGAGTAACTGCCAGTAATCAGCAACTGCTCTTTCCATCTCTGACGCAGCATTTCACCCAGAGCTCAATCTACCTGTGGAAAGCTTAGTGTTAGATAAGATCAAAGAAGTGAGAAACTCACTGCATTTTAAAACTCTCTGCTTAAGCATTTGTTGAGCCTATAAAGCAGGCTGAAATTGCGCAGAAAGCAGCAGCTACGTGGAGCTTGGCTCTTCGCCTCAGCAGTCGAGAGCAGAGGAAACATCCCTGCAGGATGCATGGGCATGGACCATGGGCTGTGTGACGACCCATGCCACGCTGCTGCGATAACTGGGACTCTGGGCCAGGACAGTTGAACCCGTTATTCTCCATGGAGCTTGGTTGCTCATTTCTGATGGTCTCGCAGGTGTCTCTGTAGGCTGAAGAGGCAGAGTCCAAAATCGCTCCCAGAGGTTGTAGCTGGGTTCAGCCCCTATGGTCATGGCTTCCTGGTTTCTGTATTTACTTATTTGTACCTGCTCCAGTGGGAGTGCATGTTCATGAGCAGCTCCCATGACACTGGTAGTGCCCCAACAGTCATGCTAGCAGCAGGTCTGCATGGGCAGTAGTCCCGGCAGTGGGAGGTAGTACTTGCCATGCAAGTACTTTGCACCTTATCAGGGACCAAAAGTGTGGGATGGTTATTTTTGTGCTGCCTTGGCAAAGTCTTGCCTTCTCCAGAGGCCAAGTGGAGGAAAGGCAGCACACAGTTTGGAAAAACTGTGCCCTGGGATGGGTGCCTCTGAAGACAGGAGCTGCAGTGTGTTTTATCAGCACTCTGAGGGCTCAGAAAGCCATGGAGATAGAAACCCTACAGGGATGGACATAGGGGTGTTTGGCCCATGGTGGCAACCATGTCCACCCTAAGCATTTCCACTTGGTTGGATGAAGGAAGCATAATGCTCCTCTGCTCACATAGTCAATTCAAGGGTGTTAGAGGCTAGTGACCAGAAACATGGGTTAAATGTGCCGTGGTCTTGGGGAAGCTCCCCTGGGCTGGAGATGGTGCCCTGGGGTGGGCAGGACCCACCCCCACACCCCGCAGCAGACACAGACTGTGATGGCAAAAGTCTGTGGGATGGCCCCCCCAAAATCGGCCTGCCAAACTGATGTCTCCTTCTTCCAGCTCATCTGCCATGCTTTTCCCCCTACAGTGCTAGAGTGGAAGACAACGATGTATGGCCCCATGAACAACAACTCAATATCCTACCAGGAGGGGAAACTGAAGGTGAAGGAAGCAGGCCTCTACTACATCTACTCCCAAGTCAGCTTCTGCACCAAGGCAGCGACTTCAGCACCCTTCACCCTCTATATTTATTTGTATCTCCCCATGGAAGAGGACCGGCTCTTGCTGAAGGGACTAGACACACACAGCACCTCCAAGTCTCTCTGTGACCTCCAGTCTATACGGGAGGGAGGCGTCTTCAAGCTCCGGGAAGGTGACATGGTCTTTGTGAACGTGACAGACTCAACGCAAGTGAACTACAACCATGGCAGCACCTACTTTGGCATCTTCAAGCTGTAGTGAGGAGGGGGCTGCCCCAAACTGGGGTCCAGCCTGACTTTGTTGAGCAAAGTGGCTTTCCCTGTTTCCCGTATTTATGTTCCTCTGCCTCTTTGGTTGTCTTGTTTCTTAATTTGTATATTTTGTTATTTATTAATGAGGGCCAAGGGGCTCTGAGAACAGAAATGGAACAAATTTTGAAGCTGTTGTTGTTTGCACTTTGCTTTTTTCTCTCGTTGCCAATGGTTTAGTACGTTCTGGTGTTGTCTGTCTGGGTCCTCCATGCCCCGCATGCCTGACAGAGTGGTTGTCCCCGTTATGTCACAAGACCTTTATTTAGCAAACTCTACCATCAACGTTTCTTTCCTAACAATGTAGGATGGCTCATGGCACTCCAGCCAAGCTAGGTTCATACATATCTCCCATACCAATCTGCTTGCAAAACATAAACGGAAAAACATTAAAAGGCTTAGGAACGTCTCCTCTAAAGGAATCAATCAGCCGAGCACTGTCCTTACGTGCTAGCTGCTGGTGATGCATCATTGCCACCCTAACTGTCTGCTTTATACTGAGAACTCCCTTTTTTCCACCTGTGGCTATCTATGAAACTCAACGAGCCTTCTTGCTTAGGGTGACACTGCCTTGGCTGGGTTCATGCTTAGTGACAATCACGTCATATCAGAGGGGCGACGTGTGGCCATGGGGGAGATTGCTGATTTCAAGCCAGAGTGTGGGTAGGGCACCAGCGGTGCTCTGCTCTCAGTGGCCCAAATCTGCTCACGAGACTGTTCTCCTCCCACCTCTGCAGGTAGAGGACCCTCTGCCTGTGGACTGTTTCACTCCCCTGCGGAAGGGCTGTTGGCCACCACCATCAAATCTGGACCTGCCTCCTCTCCTGAGACCACTCCTACTCTAGGAGGAGGACCAGGAAAGCACAGAGGTGGCAGGACCAACTGCTTCTTCCCAAGGCGCATGTGCAGAGCATTTTCTGTCTGTCCTCAGTGAGGTCATGCTCACAGTGGCACTTTTCCTGGAGCTCCAAGAGAGCAGATGAACAGGACCCTGTCTTGGGCAGGGGGCACCTGGGTGATGCTGCACACTGGGGTCTCTTTGACCATCTTCTCCAGCTCGGGCAGCAGGGGAGGTGAGCTGAGCAACAGAAGGACAGAAGGATGTTGAGGCAACGTTTTTCAAACACTTCTAAATATGCCAAAGGTGGCAAGCCTGGAGCTATTGGTTATACAAGTCACACTTGTCAGAGTGCAAAAGTTTGGAAATACTCCTGGAAGCCAACAGGTTTGCAACTGGAGGTTTTCAGATTTGTGCAGTCCTTAGGGTTTGTTTGGCTGGAGGCTGCAGGTCTGGTCCTAACATGGTGCCAGAGTGCCATCACTGCCAGGACACACGGGGCAGTCTTTGCACAGCTCATTGGCAGTGCTGGGTGCCTGGCATAGCCCCCTCCCAAAGTCAGTAGAGGAGAGCTCAGAGGCAGTCTGGTTTTACTATAATTTAATATGTATTTGTTGGCTGTTCTCCAAAACTGCTTAACTTCATCAGGGAAAGGACCACTTTTGTCTGACACCATGTATAAAAACCATTTATTTAACTAAAACCATCTTATATTTGCAAAAAGAGAGGGACTGCGTGCCAAGGGACTGTGCATGGCTGTAGCTGTGTTTTACAGCATATTTCAACATTAACAGTTCCCCCTTCCCAAGCGTGGGGTTTCGTCCACTGTCACCCTACAGCTAATACAATTTAATTAAGAGATAGGGTGCTTTGTATGCTTTGAACGCCTCTCACCCTTCTCAGCCCCAGGCTGGGATTTCCCAGGGTCCTGCTTGGGATCTGGGGACTGAGAGGGTAGTGGGGTGGCGCTGGGGGGTACAGTGCAGACAGCCAGTCCCAAAGCCTCTGGGGGCAGCCACACCACCCTGCTCCTTGGGGTATGTTGGGATGCCAGGGCCAGGCAGCACCAGGTGCATTTTGGCTGGAAGAGGGAGCAGGGACCCCCCTGCTTTAGGAAGGCAGAGAGGCACCAGGGCTGGAGCCTCTATCACAGCTGTGGAGCAGAGGGGTGGGGGCCAATTTAAGGGGATTTAGGACACCTGGCTGGAAGAGGAGTATTCCTGCTTGCCCTGAGGTTTTGGAGCGTGCAGGGATATCTCAGCTTTGGAGCAGAGGGATGGATGCTGCACAAGGTGGGATCTTGTGGCCTCTGCATGTGGGGTAGCAGAGGCTAGGTGGCCACTGCTGCTGGCAATGGTGTGGCTCCCACCACCTCCTGCAGTGGTGTGGGTCTGACCCCATCCCTGCTGCTGCCGAAATCCAGCCATCCATCCGTGGGCCAGGCTTGCAGAGGCAGCGCTGGCATGGCTGGAGAGCCCTAGACCTGTGGGAGCCACAGGAGAAACCAAAGGCCGTGCAAACCAGCATGGTCTGAGAAAGGGGAAAAAGCTGGCTCAGAGTGAGCAGATGGGGAGAGGAGGGGAGGGGAGAGGAGAGCTGTGAGGAGCATGTGTGTGGCCATCCTTGGGTGCCCCAAACCTTCAGAAGCCGAAACCAGCTTTGGTGGCCAGGTGCACCCACTGGAGTGTTTGGGCTGAGCTGTAATGCCTGGCCCAAATAAATCACCAAGAGGGGATCCAGGAGCCGCAAGTCGCATGGAGAAATAGATTTTTCTATTCCCCCTGCTGCCCCATAGCTGGGAGAAACAAAGAGGGGAGAAAAAATAGGCATAAAACAACTCAATAAATTCTGCAGCAAGAGCAGCAGATGCCAACTGCCACCTCCCCTGCCTGCAGGCTGCCTGCCCAGCCCCAGCCCCCTGCCCGTGCTGCTGTCTTTCCCGGGGCTTTTGTTTCTTGCCTCTGTTTCTTCGCTTGCCAAAAATAGCCCGTGGGATTCAGATGCGAGGTAGTGCGTGGGAGGGGAGGAGATGCGATTGCTACCATCCAGCTGTGGCCTTCTCCCAAGCGGCTTTGTTCTCCCCCCTGGCCCCTGCCCCGTGCTGTGGCGGGTGCAGGTTTCCTCTCCCCGTGGAAAGTTTGAAGGTCATCAATACATTGATTTTTCCTTTGACGTGGGGCCTCTCTGTCACTCCTTGGGCTGTGGATTTTACGGTTTCTGAACTGATTTTTGTTGTTCTTTCTGAGCAAAGAAGTGAATGAGAGGGTGATGGGTACGTAGCGCACATCAGCAGGACTGGCAGGGTCATCCTTGATGAGCAGCAGCAGGAGCAAGCAGCAGTCATCTGCTTGGAGAGGTGCTTCCATGGCTCAAAACACACAGACCCCTGGGAAATACTTTTTTTTAGGTTTGTATAAGAGATGAGATTTTAGGTTGGCTTGTTTTTTTTTTTTTCCTCAAAAAAGCATTGGGATACCAGTTTCCAAGCAGGGGTCTTTCCAGCTCATGCCACCAAGATCAGGGCTGCCGGGCAGCAGGAGCTGGAGGATGGCTGTCCATGTGCTGCATGTGTCCATGTGCATGGTGGCCACTTGGGTGACAAGCCTGTTCTAGCATCTCTATGCACTACTTTAGGGTCTTTTTTGTTTCCTTTTTTTATCTCCCCTTCCCAGTTAGGCACTGTATGCCTGGGTGCCAGCCTTACCTTAGCACCCTTTGCTAGGTGACAGCCCTTTCCCCTGATCAGGGCAAGGTACCCATCGGCAGGGTCTCAGTCTCTTCTAGGGGGCCAAACGTGTTGCATGCATCCCTGCATGGGAGCAAGGGAAACTTCTGCCCCCCCATTTCAGTTTGGGTTTGGGGACACTTGTGCCATGGAGCGGTGCACACTGGGGCGGCCGGCAGGAGTAGCCCACCATCAACAGGCACCTCCAGAGTATCCTCAGCTGCCGTGGTGGTTTGGGCTGTGGAGATTAAGCTGCTAGGGTTTTTCTTCTGTTTTTTCATATTGGTAGTCATTTGGAGCCAAACTTTGTTGCTTGGAGGGTGCTGCTAAAGCCTGTGTTAGAGTTGGGATGTACAAAGGGGCTGTTCGGGAGCTGGCGTAAGAGAGGGGGACAAAGGGACCCTGAAGGAGAGCAGGATGGAGGGTCTCTGGTTAAGGCCTGGATCTGGCCTCATGGGCACCTGGGAGCAGAGGTGCTCCCTCCAAAATGAGCCTGGGAGGCACCACCTCCTTGCTCTTCTGCCCAGTGCAGGCTTTGGGGCGCTCAGGTCTGGATGTGGCCCTGCTCTGCCTCTGCAATAATTCCTCAAAGTGCCACTTGGGTTCAAGCGGGGTCCCTTGCAGACTTCCGTGTTTTTACATGATGCACCCAAGGCCAGTGTTTCTTTTTCACTTGTTCTTTTTCCCGCTCCAAGTGCTGGTCGGGGAGGGAGAGCAGGGTCCAGCCCTCCTGCCCTTGGTCTTCCTTCTTCCGCTGTGGGCTGAGAGCATGGCATCACTCTACCAAAGAGTTAAAAATACCAGCATGCAGGAGAGGTCTTGTCCAATTGGTAGACCAAAGGAAATCCTGTCACCACACCTAATTGCCAGAAAAAAACATGCATTAACTAAAACAAAACAAAACAAAACAAACTCAAACAGGCAGGAAGTCGCTTATCTACAACAGAAACCCGCTGCTGCAGCGGAGAGCAGCTAGTTCTCCATAAAGCATCCTTGTTAACTGAGTGCAAGTGGGGCTTGAGGGACGGAAATGCATCTCCTTCCCCTGGGAGCAGGTGCCCCACCTGCTCCAGGGCCAGTGGGAGCAACAGCCCAAGTGCCAGCATCACCATTCACACCACTGTCCCCACCAGCATCCAGTAAAACAGAAGGTGGATGATGCAGCCATGGCATTTTGAGCAGATCAGGGATGTCCAGAGCAAGCACTGGCCTTGCTTTTGTGGTGGAAACAAAGGAAGCAGCACTGAGAGCTAAGAAGAGATTTTTATCTTTCTTTATTTGTTGAAAATGTCAATTAAAAAACTCTTCAAAATAAAAACATGTTAGAAAAGTTGAACTTGCATAAGTAGTTACAGTAAATAAACCTACATGACAAAGATAAACTGGAAGGCAGCTGACACAACATCCATCTAATGACAGACTCACTGGAACCTATTTACAAAGCACTGTAAACAAAGTAAATATGAAAACATTGCTGTCCATCCGGCATGGCTTCTTTTCCTTTTTATTTTATTTTCTTTTCTTTTTTGGCTTCTAGCTCTTGACAAATGCTTGATCCAAAATGTCCCAGTGTGCCCTCCATCACATTACATCTTACAAACATGCATATGTACACAGCACGGGTTTCAACGAAACTGGGGGGCAGCAAGGAAACATTTCTACCCTTTCCTCAGAGTGTAAATGGCCCTTGGTTTGCTTCCTTGCCCTGGCTGCACATCGCGAGCCCAGTCCCCAGCCCGCCTTTGGGCAGGCAGCAGAAGCAGTCAAAGCCAGGGTGGCTGGGCACAGCCTCCCAGAACAGCAGCGTGAGCTGCTCAGTGTGCAGCAAAGGTCAGCATCCTGGAAAAAGATTAACCAGCACAGTAGGGCTTGACTGCTGACCAAACCGCTCAGCTGTGTGCCTGGGTGGGGATGTGGGGAGCTGCTGTCCAGCTGGGGTGCTCTGGAGATAGCAAATGTAGCCAGAGCAAAAAAGATCTCTGTTTTGTCCTAGAAACAGCTTAGCTTTAAAGAGGGTTGTTTACACTCCTCGTGATGTTTTTGAGTCTGGCTTTCCCCAGACACCATTTGCTATGTTCTGGCTAAATTTTAATTGCAAGGAGGGAGTTGTAGTTATTGCCTCTCTTATGTCCTTCATGACCAACGTAACAGTACGACTGTAATAAGCTGTAGTGTGTCTGCACACCCTGGGACCTTGCTGCCCTGTGATATATGTAAGACCTATCATTAACAGAAGGTTACTTTTATAATGCTGCTAAGGAAGGAAGGAAAACATCAGTTCTAAACTACGGTATAACATCAAATAAGATGAAGATAGCCGATACATATGCATGTTGCCTGTGTGCTGTGTTCGAGGAGCTGTGCAGGGATCTGGAAGGGTGTTGCACGTCCTTGCCCCAGGAGCATTCCAGCTCTTGTCAAAGCATATAAACATAAATATCTTCCCTATCTTAAGAGAAAGTTCCTTTTTCCTAGCCAAAAGCCCCTTTGGGGTGACGGGGGGGAGAAGTGGCCGTTGGCTACGTTCCCAGCCTTTGGGAAGGTGCGACGGAGAGCCCAACATGGGCAGAAGGGAGCAGGGAACCAGCACATTTGGCGGTTGTTTTTTGTTGTCAAGCAGTGTTTACATTTCATACAGAGAAAAGCACATCCTGCAAGGGGAAGCACAGCAAAACTATAAACTCATACGATACCTGGACACTCAATGTGAAAACAAAGCAGGGGGTAGGAGTTATAGGTCATGCATAAGAAAAGGGATGGGGGGGCAGAACAGCAGTTACCTGTTGTGCTGATCACGAGCTGTTAGGAGGCAGTACTGTGCAACATACCTTCCCATGCGCTCTGACAGGTGCTCCAGATCTGACTTCCCCAAGGAGTTCAAATGTCTTCATGTTAATTGCACATTTTAATCAGTATCAAGGCCACACGGGAACCACAGTATTGCTGGGCTCTAGTTCGCTACAGTCAACTAATGGGGAAAAAGAAGGTGGATGGGAAAGGCTTCCCCAGTTGTGATTATCTGAAAAAAGGAGCATAGTGCTTTTTGGTTTCTGCTCAATGCCGCCTCAATAATGTTTTCATTCAATAAATAGGTACCGGTGCTTTTGAAAAGAATGAAAGCATTTAAAAGTGCTTAAGCTTCCTCTAGGAAACTGCTGACAAACCCTTTGTGAGCGGCAATCGCTAGCAGAGTTTGTATTTGCTCCCAGTAGCAGGTACGATGAGGTATTAGTTGCCACAGATGAATTGTGAATCATGGACCGCTTGCTTACTGGTTTAGTTGTGATCGATTGATTCTGGTTTATTTCCTTATTGGATGGAAGAAAACCTATCTTTTTTTTCCTCTATGACTTTTTTTTTTGGTAACGAAATTCCCAAAACCAACAAAATAAGGAGCAAGGAGAGGCAAAGGATCCAGTTCCGCTTCCCAAGAAACACCTGAGGTCACACACCACTGCCAGCAGCTTCTCCCCGAATTCAGGCGATCAGGGATGACTTGCGCCCCGTGTCCTCCCTGCCACACTCATCCGTCTGCTTCAGCAGCCTTCTAACCAGCTTCTCCAAGTCCTTCCTGGATTTAAGCTCTTCCTCCAAACACTGTTTCATCCTTTTGTTCTCCTGCAAGAGGAAAAATAAAGGAATAAAGAAGCAGTTAGCGATCATGCACTTCATGCAGTGAGGTACCTCCATGCGCCTGGCTGCCTGTGCCTCAGAGGTAAGGAAGGATATTTCAGGGATATCTGACAGGTCACTGCTGGCTTGTGACGATGAACAACATGCGTTACTTGTGGTCCGATCCACTCAAGCAGACCCCTACTACCTTAAAGACCTTCATGGAAGTCCCAGTGACTCTGAGCAGGCAGAAGCATCCTCCTGGAAATCTAATTTTAGCCTGGGTTGGAGGACCCTGGTCTCCCAGGGTGGTCTCTCCCTCCTCCAGGCTTGGGGCTGGAGAGAGGAGGACATATTTCGTCTGGGTCTGCAAGAATTGGTATCCACCAGAGCTCTATAAAATGAACAGTGTCAAGTTGAAAGAGAGAAAAGAGTGCGAGGAAAGTTTCATGTTACCACAAAGGCCAATTACTCCTTCCCTCTTGCTGGCCTTGGTGCTGATTCAGGGAGCTAAACCAGGAGAAAACTAATGCTAATTCAGGGAGCTGCAGGATTGCAACAGCTTTGGTAAGATTTTTCCTGGGCACTGACCAGTCGAAGACCATGCCCCGGCACAGCCTGGCTGGCTTTTGCTCAACTCCTAGCACAAACAATCCTACTCAAATTACCTGCTTTAGTTCTTTGACTTCGTCTTTCAGTGCATAAACCGTGTCAACAAGGCTCCTGCAAAAAGAAATTAAAAAACCCCAAATAAAAGGAACTGGACTGCATCAAAACAAAAACAAGAAGGGAGCCTTTGTGAGCGAGGTGCTGATGGGGAAGCTGCTTCCAGCTTGTTTTGCTCTGCTGCCCATTGCAAGCATCAGGCTGCTGCTATTGCTGCTGCCCATGAGAGGACTCGAAACACAGCCCAGGAGCATTTATAGTCCACTGGTTCAAAATTCAGTGCTCTTTTCTCAAAACTCAAGAAAAATACCTCGTTCTGCTATCTTTAAATTATCAACAAAGGTCTGTGGCTTTGGCTTCCTTGTTTATGCTACTGCAATAAATAATATTGATTTTAAAACTGGAAATGCCTGAGTGTCTTTTGTAAAATAGCCTTGATTCCTTGAGGTTATGCTGCAAAAATACAAGCATGAAAGGAATGCACTGCCTGGGTTAGAAAAGGAGCAGATCAACACAGTCACCTAGATGCTAAAGCTTCGTAACAGGCTGGGAGCACTCACAGACAGGGTGCCAGGAAGGCTCCCGAGCGGTAGCAGCAGCCCAGTAGGTCAGTAGTTAAAAAGAAAAAAAAAAAGCCACTTGTTTGGTTCTGTCCTCCCTGACCCCATTAGCTACATCCGGACAAGCTCTGGGAGTCGATAAACTGGCTCTCAGGACCCGGCACACAGAATCCCAGAGGGCTACAGCCACATCAGAAGAGCTGGGAAGGCAGCTCTGTTCTTAAAAAGGGACAAAATAGCAACTGAAATGGCCCCATGGTTCTTGTTAGGACTAAGGCAGCAGTCAGTGACGCCAGCCCTGCTCCTCTGTGGAGATCATTGGTTTTTAATGTCCTTCCAAAAAGCAAGAAGGGGATCTGCAAGTGGAGAGCAGCTTCTCTTACTTTTCCTCTGTGACAGTCTGGCCATTGCTTCGTGTTTCCTCTACAATGATTTTCTCTTCCTCAGGAAGAAGGACTTGGGGGATGGAGTCTTTACGGGAGCCTGTGTACAAGAATTACTCATCAGAAAGAAAAAAAGAGAGACTTTCCCTGATGCCCAGGCCACTGCAGAGACAGCACGGCAAACACAGCCCTCGTTCTCCCTGCTCCTCTGCAAGCCTGGGGCAGGCTGGTGATGCAGGGGCTCGAGCAGCCGCCGGCTATCTGCCACAGTTAAATACAGGCTTATACATACCTCTAACCTGGAGCTAAAGAAGCAAGCAGAAAGTTTTCAAGAGTGCTCATCGCATCTAAAACTACACCATGACTTATAAATGAAAACATTCTATTAGGGTCAAGGGCTCTCAGAAGAAACATGCCCTCCCTTTCTTAAATGTACTATTATTCGATAGTTCAGTGATTTAATTTGACATCTCACCAGCAATGACAAATAGTTATATTTCCAGAGTTGAAGACGTTAGATAGATTCTGATGAAGCAGCTTGCTCTTAAACATGCAGCTGATTGAGAGATAATATTCATGCTTCCTTTCTAAAGCTATATGCAACTTGAGATTACCATCAGGTTTTCAGTGCTGACAGCCACAGGCACTGACTAGGTTTGCTTAATTCCTAACAAGTGCTGGTGAAATAGCTGTGTCTCATCTGCCCTCCTACCTGCTTCATTCTCTGTATTTAGAAGAAAAACAATGGCAACTAAACCACTAGATAGATGAACCTCCCTTATCTTGAAGATTGAACACCACACAGTTTCCTAGCATGAGTCTCGTTGCTCTATGATGCAACAATCTGGTTTTTCCCAGAGGGGTTATCAGTGTTGCAGGCAGAGCAAGAACTAAATAATCTGGTTGTGTGCCCACCTGAGCTGAGAGCTTGCTGGAAGCCTGCCCCGGTACAGTATGCCTCGATCACCTTCAGGATCTGAGCATCTTCTTCCAGCGCAGCAGTACCTGTAAAACATTGCAGACAACAGCTATCACAACCAGCAAACTGCTCTGGCTTCACCTCTCCCAGTTTTTGCTCTCAAGTCCCTTAAGCGAAGAGCATGCCGTTGCCTTGACTGACACTCTCTCTGGGACTTTGCCTAATTCCATTTTGAGGTCCTTTACATTTTCTGACTGTTGCAACATCCTGTGGCATAGAGCACCATGACTAAATGGTATGAAAACGCAGTTCTAGCTGCTCATCTCAGCAAAACTCAGGGGGTGATGCCTGACTTTGGGTGCACGCAGCACCAGGAGGTAAGTAGGCAGAACAGCTCTGCTAGGAGGGGTCTGGTACAGCCACATCAGAGCAGGACTTGGAAATGTGAAGACTTAATTTCCAGCCTTAGCTCAGTGCTGTCTTCTCAAGGGAGACAACTGACCTTCAAGCTGTACATCGCAGAAGCTCACTGCTGGGTGACCGTGGCCTTTCATGCAAAACCCCTGAGGAGTGTCCCAAGTGCACTTCAGGGAGCTGTCAGGACATCCCTCTTTGTGAGCAAACACCCCATGAAGTGAAGGGCCTTTTTTTGTTCCCTGGTCCCCCATGGAAACTGTTCCAAGACCTGCTGGCACGGCCAGGTAAAGGTTTGTCCCAACTCTCAGACATATTTTGATGACCACTGACATGCACACTTAATGCAGCTTTTAACTTTGGAAGTAGCTCCTTGGCTTTGTAACCAGAACAAGACCAGTCACAACACGTGATCTTGTGCTAGCAATCACAAGGAGGGTGGTAGCATGTCTGGCAGTCATCACTGGCAGGGGACCTCTCAGAGGCTGACAACCAGTGCACTTCCAGAAGCCTCCCATGCTCAGCAGCATGTAGGCTTGCTCACAACGTGAGCATCCTGTCGCATCCTGCACCGTAACAAAGACTGTTCTCAAAGTCCCATGGAGATAGCACACAGAAACCGCCAAAAATAAGAGAAAAATATGCTTACTTTTCCGAATAACAAACTCTTCATCAGATGGTTTTCTCTCAGTTTTCCTTTTTGGAAGAAACTTCTTCATTGTTTTCGGACTTTTGCTGGAATCCTATAGAGAAATAGACTCTTGTGTTTAACCAGAACAGCTCAAACAGCGGAGCAGCACAGCTGAATGCAGCTATCCATGTAACGCACAACACGTTAGAGAACTACAAAGCAGACAATGACAAAGTTGGGGAAGATGATGCGTTTTGCCTTTCCCATGCGCTAGTTGTGGCCCATTGCTCCCTGGAACAGGGGTGGGAATTGCACCTGTAGGCCTGGGACAGGACAGGTTCCTCTAGCAAATTCAACCCTCAGCTAAGACCCTTTAGCCCAAGAATTCAAACATTCACAGCACTTATGTCTGCTTACCAACTCTGGGGTCTTTGTTAGGAAACCCTATAATGTTGTTTATTTCCTTGACTTGGTTTGATTTCTAATACAAAACAGCTGGCAAATGACACTGCTTCTAAATGCACACAATTTGTTTGAGAGTATAAATCCCCCCCACACACATAGAGAACAAACAAACACACACAAAGTTAGTGTTTGCTGACTCCACGAGTAAGAAACACAAGCTTTTATCTCCTTCACTGAGTTACAAGTCTTGCTGATTTGGAGAGAATTAGTGTATTAGTAGGTTACATGCAATAATGATTTTAAGCAGGGGAAGAGGCATGCCAGGAAGTTTAAGTACCATAATACTAAATCCTTCTTGAGAGTTATCTCAAAATATATTTGCCAGTTGCTACTGACTCTCATGACAATTTACTGATAAAGCCAGGCAAAATTAGGGTCATGCAAGCACGAGAAGCGTGAACAGGAACAAGCATTCTTTGCCACAATAAGCCAAAGAGATGTATCTACCCTTACCTTTAAGATATAAGACATCCTCTACAATGAATATGCAAAGAAAGAAGAGATGAGTGTGAGAGACTGATGATTTTATTGACCAAGTCCATTAAATCCACAATTCTAAAACACATTTAAATGTTAGTCTTGCGATTAATGTGGCACACCCTCCATACTGGTTTTAGAGCATTGTCAACATGCAAAGGAGCACGGTGTCATGCAAAACTGAAAAAATTACATGTGAAACGCACGGTAAGTGGGCATTAATACGCTCCAAACACGTCAAAATAGACAACATGCCTCCTCGGTTAGTAGTAAGTTTCTGTAGATGTTGGTTGTCTAAAACAGTGCTTGAAAATGCAGCACCCCTTGGTGCTAGCCAACACTGCAGCCACTCGATGTGCCCAGCTCCATCCAAGCCCTGGAGAGCAGCTCGGGGCCTGGCCCCATGCTCAGCATGGGTCCTGTGGTCTTCAACCCAACCCAGCCAGGATGATGGGATGCTCTGCCCACCCCGGTGACAAACTCCCAGCATTGCATCTTCTCAAAGGAGACCTCCTCAGAGGGAACCCGCCATCCTTATTGGAGACCTGACAGTGCCAGGCACCAGCACAGCAGCACCTCCCTGCTCCACAGGTAGGACAGGGAGCTCCCTGCACACCCCGCGGAGGGTCCCATCCCTAGGACGCTCGACACAGGGAGCTGTGCGGCTCTCCTGCAGGCCTGCCCAGCAAAGTCCTGAATCCTTGTTATTTATAAACCCTTCACCTAATGCAAAGCAAGCCACATAAAAAAAAGAAAAAAAAAAGGAAAAAAAGAAATAATCTGTAAATCTTTTTCACTTCGCTAACCTGAATCCGGACACAGCGCTTTATGCACAGCACCTGCTCTGTCATTTCAAATGATTACTGGAAACGGAACAGGAAAAATGACCCAATTTCAATGGAAATAACAAGAGTGCTATGCGGTATGCAAGCAGGTTCTGGGGTTTCCTGAGCATAGCTAGGTACGAGGAAATGTACAAGACTGTGCCATCCCGTCCTACACTACTAGGAGCCAATTAAAGTAACACTGGATGTCTGAAAATCTCTAATCTTTTAATCAAACTCCCCCACTCCCCTCCCTGCAAATAACCTTTGAAATTTGTATTCCTTCATTATATCTTCATTATAAGAAGGTGACTTGCACTGAGCTGTTAGCACAGTTTATTTCGTGCCCTACTTCGAATTAAAAAAAAAAAAAAAGAAAATAATACAGGGAAATAGGAGTTCTGCTCAGTGATTAAGCACCCCAGAGAGGAGGATGAGGCAGATGCAGATCTGCTTGGGCCAACAACTGAACTTATTTCACATTTGTCATTGCAAGCTCGTGTCCATGAGTCCCTCCCCTGAGAGGGGAGCTGCCCCGCAGGCTCAGCCTGGACTGACTGGGTACCAGACTGTGCCTGTCCACCTCTGCTCCAGCTCTGGTAGACCTGTTGGCCTTTGGGTTTCCACCAACATGGCCAGCACAGACTGTTCCCATTGCAAATCACATTTTTGGTCCTTTGGCACCCTGCATGCTACCACCCAGCCTGCGGCAGCATCCTACCCCTTGGTGCTCCCTGCCTGCTCGGCCTCTGTGGCAAAAATCTCTCACCTGGTTTCTTTCAACACAGAGAATTTAAATCCTGCTATGTGTGGTAGGGGACAACTGAGAAACTGCAAAGGACCGTGGTATTAATGATATCACTCAATCTGTGGTTTTGGCCTACCTTATAAATAAATACCAGCCTTGCACTTTCACCCAGAAAAATTTCTCCTCTACTTCAAGCCTCTTCCTGTATTTTAATTCACCATGCAAGTAAGAAACGGTTTAGTCTACGTTAGGGATTTGGAGCATGCAAAGATGAAGGGCTGTTTCCAGTCTGCTTGGCTGGTTTTGAACAATTTAATTCCCAAACTGAAATGCGCTGCAAATTTTAAGAAATAAATGTAACAAAATGCCATGAGGCTATCTAAAATCTCTGCCTGGAGCAGTGGACCCAAAGCCCCCTGGGCTGCCGGGCTCTCCATCCCTGCGTGCTGGGGAGGTTGAGGGGGTCCAAGCCCTCCTACCCATCCCCATCGCTGCTGGGAGCCCCGACAGTGACACTCCCAGGGCTGCTGTACCAAGAAAGGTAGCTGACTCAGAACCGGAGTGCTCATTCTGTAAGGGGAATGTTACCCAAGTTACTGGTGAGTAATCCCAAAAGTTTAATGTGAGGTAGGGAAGGAGAGCACTGCAGTTGTAGTGTGGGGTGAGAATCGGAGCTAGGTTTTATTTTGGGTTTCCCCACGCCACCTCCTACCTCCCAGGCTTGGGGTTTCTGCGGGGTAAGCAATCCCTCGGGCTGCTGCCTCCCAGCAGAGTATGGGTGTGTAAAACACTTGGGTGGGCAGCAAAGGAGGGTCGAGCCCCATGGGTGCTGCAGGGAGCCCTGCTCCAGCCACCAAAACACAGGGTAGAAGACACAAGAAGTATCAAGAGGCCTTTTTCCTCTTCCTCTTGGTGCAGCGTCGCTGCTCGATCCTGCAGCACCGGCCTGGGCAATGCTGAGCCACTGCTATGGCTGGAGCTGGGACATGTCCCGGCAAGGAGTCAAGCTCCCACCCACATCTCAGACCAACGCAGGAGGAGGAGGGGAGGCAGTTCCACCACAGCACTGCTGAAGGAGAGTGCTTGGTGGGACACACAAGGCTGTGGGACACCCCACTACAGGACCGGTGACATCCAGCAGCCGAGGGCTGGCTACAGCAGCCGGTAGCAAAGATCGAGCCTGCAAACACACGTGCTTGTGCTTCACTTGCAGCACAAAACCAGCTGCAGCAACAAGCACCCATTGCACATCTGCAGGACCACGGCAAAACTTGGTCTCTCAACATCCCCCTTAACTAAAGGGCAGTAAACGCAAGCTTCTGTGCCCTCACTATGGGATAAGAATCCTGGACACAAGCACCAGGGATTGCCATGAAACCACAGTCTTCTGCAGGCACGTGGGATGATTACCTCTTTGTAACTCAGCGCTGCCGATGGTCTGAGTGGAGGAGCAGGACGGAGGCAGCTCAAGCTCCAGGGCTTGAGGATTTTGGGGGGTTCCAGAGGCCCACGGATCTGTCCAGCTGAACTAAATGTCTGAGAAAATAGATACGAAGCAAATGAAGACTGTTAGCCACCAAAAAGTGTAGAGAAGCAGAGGAGGACACACAAGAGTCCAGTGTGAACTCCTTCGAGACATCTAGGTTGCAACAAAAATAGGGCAGGATACATGTAAAATGGTACAAGCATGATGTGGTTACAAACAAAACTGCAGGATGTGTCTTACAGCCGTACACATTAGCTCAGTATCAAGATGTGTTGCCGAAAGAGAGAGATCAGGTAGCTCTGAGGGACCCTAGGCAGCAGAGAGACTGGGGAGGCAAGATGCTTACCGAATGAGCACTCCAGGACTGTGTTTTGGATACAGTGTTGCACATCCCTTTGGTCAGCCTTTGCAAGTGGTCGAGCCAATCGTGCAAGTCCTGGCTGGTGCTGCAGGACACAGTGATCCGCTCCGTCATGTTCCCTGCAGCAGAGGGTTAAATAACCATCTTTAGCAAGTGGTAGAGACCAAGGAGGAAACACAGGGTGAGCTCAACTCAGCACAGCAGCAAGCAGCAAAGTCCCATGGCTGCAAAAAGGCCAGGGCAAAGATGCTACTGCCCATCGAGCTCTGGGCACTCAGTGCCAGCCAGTGTGGGAGCAGCACAGAAAAGCTAAGGGAACTGGCGAGATGAATGTGTGAGGAATTATTCAATGTTAAAAGTAAGCAAATGCAACATGTTAATGATTAACAGGACCCTGACACCAAATAACACCAGCACAAATAGCTGCACTGCAGCCAAGGCGCTGAGCATGAAATGAGTGTGTATAGCTACAAGTAATGAGATAATCTGAAGAGGAAAACTCGGAGGAACATTAGGAAAGCAACCCGATGACCAGAGCTGTTAATCTGTCAATAAACAAGGTGCTCACAGCTGCAGGGGATGGACCCCAATGCAGATGGGGCAGGCATGCATGGCACAGAGCAGTGCTACTGGGGCCACAACCATCCTTGTCAGGAGATTTGTCCCATACAAAACACTACGGTCTCCAAAAGCTGCCCAGCACCAGTGACAGAGCTCAAAGGCACTGGGAGGAGGTTGCCTCAACCAGGAGGGGGATGCTCAGGAACTCAGACGACGCATGGTAAAAGAGCAATAAGAAAAGCGTGGTGTGGCGCAGTGGTTAGGGGGAGGAGGAGGAGGACCAGTATCTCCAGTGGCAGCTGCTGTTTGGACTGGGAGGATGGCCCCAGGCAAAAGCCCCACTGACCTGCAATTTCAAACATGTGCTCGTTCCCTTCAGCATCTTCCAGCTTTGTCAGTGTCATTCCTGTCAAAGGCAGCTTTCCCTAGGAGAATTGAGGAGGAGTCAGTGTCTGCATCTGCTTCTCAGCGGGCATCGTTCTGCTTGTTTCTGACGATTCCTTTCTCTCTGGCAATCGCCATTAAAAACTAATTTGTGAAGGCTTCAGACTGCAGGAAGAGTCTCCTTTAACGTATGGATCTAGATTTCCCTGCACAACTAGGTCAAACCCCCGAGAAGAGGCTCCCATGACAACTGAGTCATCCTTGGCTCATCTGCCACCCTTTCCCTTTACTAGGTGCAAACCCTTTTCACAACCAAGTCAGATGGATCAACTTCTTCGTTTTTTCTGAAAGCCTTCCCTGTCCTCTGTTTTGCATGCTGAACTGCCTGCTCACCTTACTGGTGGGTAAAATCAAAAAAGCCAGCCAAATCTTCCCCAAATCTTCTCCATCTCCCTTGTGTATGAGAAATGACACATCAACACAAGAGCATCCCTTTTCTAGAGGGTACTGATGGTTTCAGGCAACTGGAGAAAAGCCAAGTTCCCAATAGCATGATTGCAGCCATTCAAATGGTAAAACACAAGAAATGCAGAATTTTGGGGTGCCTCATGGAGTGGAAATCTTGGTCTTTTTACAGTGGGATTTACGGTAGTGAGATTTTTTCGAGAGATCACACAACACAGCTGTCTGGCTGGTTGTGCGGGGCAAAACCCCACAGCTAGGTCAGGACAGCTTACACACACACACAACATTCTTGAGAACGGCATGTAGGACAACATCCTGAGAGGGTTTTTTAATCTCATTTCACAGCACTCACACTTACCAAATGCTGTTTAACCAGGTGGCAGGACAAAGGCACCGAGTGTCCTGGCATGCATGGTAAAACCAAGCCCTGGTTCCCAGCCTAGGGCATTTACATCACAACAGAGAAGTTTAAGGAAGCAGAGGATTTGAACTTGATAACAGCTATCTGATTTCCTTTTTCACACCTAACGCCTTGCAACTTCAGATTAAGCATGCCTACCTGATAGATGAACCCACTCATCCGTGGGCTTGCAGACAGCATCAGCAAAACGTTTGAAAACAACAAGAAGTATCGCTCTTCCTTCTCCTGCGGGGATAAGAATTTAGGTTAGTCCAGTTCGCAATGCATCACAAGCACTTTCCTCCAGCAGACTGAACCTGTTGCAGCTGGAATCACAGCCTGTGAGAGATTGCACCAAACCAATTATGTTGGCTTTTTTTATTACAGCATCTCATTTCTGTACTAGTCTTTCCTGCATACATTTTTGTCTGCAACCTGCTAATCCTCTTCCAATCATTTCAGAGTGGCTCAGAAGACTAAAACCTTATGGACCCCAGCATTTCACATCCCAAACAAGACTCTGGGACTAGACTCTACAGGACTTTCTTTCCAGGTCTTCCCTTCCCAGGGAAAAGTTGCTACAGCAAGCAAGCAATTCAGTGACAACAGCCACTTTCCCACACCTAACATGCAGCACGCATGGTTTTTACACCATTGGTGAAAGTCTGTGGCAAGCACTGCTGTGATGCTTTAGCACCAGTAGCACAGGAATTCCTCCAGTTATTTCCAAGGCATGGTCAGCTCTGGAGTGGGACATCACAGCAGCCGCTGGGACGTGGCAAAATGGTTATGCTAATGCACACTTTCAAGTCACTCTCATTTCTCAGAGTAAGTCACAGGGCAGGAAGAGGGAAATTAACGTGCTATACAACACTGAGATACTTCTTTTGCTTGAAAAGCGTGTCACCAAAGGCCTGAAGCTAAGCCTCCAGGGTGCCTGACTCCAAAGACATGCACAGTCCCATTGCACAGCTCTTCTCTAGATAAAATTATTTATCAGCATTATTTGTCAGCACTTTGCTGGCCTGGAGTGGGAGTAGCTGCCACCTTGCACTGTTGATCCTGCGAGCGAGGGGGTATTTGGACACAATCTCTTTAGCCAGGAGAAGGACTGCACTTACCTCACTTCCCCCACACTGTACCATAACCTGAGACATGTAGATGATGTTTCCCATTGTTTTTATGTCCTCTCCTTCCCAACGCTGGATGGATTCAGAAAGGATCTGCAGTTCGAGTTGTTTCCTCTTCCGCAGCTCCTGGCATTGTGACTGGGAATCACAGCGGGGCACTTCATTAGCTGGAGGGCAGGCTCAAACCCAAACCATCCCAACAAAGATGATTTCACCAGCAATGCTCCTACAGCCACGCGGGCTCAGGGCTGGTCATGTCAAGGGATCAGGAAAACCTGCTTTGGCTCTATTACAGAAAGTTGGGTAAAAATAATCACACCCTAGCGATTTATGAAGTAATGAATACATCAAAATGTCAAAGAAATTGCTAACTGCACTGCGCAAACTTTTCTTTCCAAACCAGTCCTACCTCTGTGAGCACAAGGTCACATTTTCCAAACCAAGCCATCCACAGAGTTAAACGTCTCTCATTTTGCTGCTGCTTAGAGAGATTTTGCCCATTTTGCCCAACAGTAGTAAGAGTTATACTTGCAGCAATGCAAAGCCCCCACAAATCAGAGACGGGTAGATATTTTCTAACCAAAATTTGCAAACCCAAAAGCAGGACTTAGCGCAATATTTCAGCGGTGCAGTAGAGTAGCACAAAAAGCAGCTTTCAAAGGTGCTGTAATTGAAAAGACTGCACCGATGCTCAACAGCTGGGGTCTGGTAGAGCCCCACAGAGCAAGGAGTCCTTCAGCAGCTTTCAGCAAGCAGGGAACAACACTGACTGAACAAACACAGCCCCGCAAATCCAAGCAAAACTTGCTTTAACTGACGCCCTCTGCCAACTGGGAAAATTGCTGCAAAGCCAAACCCAGGCTCAGTTTTCACCAGCTGCTTGGTTTTTTCCAAACCCCAGTTTCTGACAGAGATTTCCCTCCTTTCCAGCTCAGTTTCATACAAACTCTTTGACTATCCAGATCGTCAAACAGAGAGGCTGCATTGGGTCTAGTCTGAAAACACACAAATGTGAACCAAACCGCAGGGTCTTCCTCTGGTTTTGCAAGTGTTGTGTGCTTTGATGGCTCCCCAAGTGTCCAAATCCAATGTTCCCAGGATGCAAATCCATGTAAAATCCACTGCAAACCACCATAGTCTGTGCAGAGGCACCACTGCAAATCACAGTGGCTCCACAGTGCCTCCCTGCCTTTGCTCCGGAGCCTCCCTGGTCCTACACCATGGGACCATGCATCCATTGGAAGGGGCATCTCTGCCTGCCTAACCTCGTATCTGCACTGAACCTATTTAGTTGCATCATAATCACGTTAAATTACTCAGCACCCAAGTACACATTTAAAGTAAAACCATCCATCACCAAGCATTCCTGAAGATTAATGACACCTTGTAATTTAAGTGAATTATTCCCCTATTATCTACTAGCATAAATGGAAACGGAGCTGAGTTTCTAAGTAAATGTAACATGATCACCCTTTCCTGTTTTCTATGAACTTTCTCCTCCTCATCTTTTATCTGCACTGCTAAGCACCGAAAACTTGCATCTGCTGTGCTAAGGAAGGAAGTTGGACCACATCTGGAGTGGTTATAGTGAAAGGTATTCAGTGGCTACAAGCGAGAAAGACTACAGCTTTTTTAATAACTGAGAAAAGCTTTGCTGGGTAAAACCTTTGTGCATGTGGATGGCTTTTCCCCCTCTTTTTCATCTCAATGCAGCAGGACTTTGAGGGGTGTATGTAACACAGCTCACAGAAATAGGTTTGTTACCTCTGACTCATCCCTTTGCTGCCACTTGCTCTGTTCCCAGCCAATGGCCGTGGCACCCGGAACCGCAAATTATCTGCAATATGCTCAAAGCCTCCCAATGCCCATGGAGCAAACCTCAACAAAACCAAGAGCCACTCAATGGGCTCAGAGGGGACCTTCCTGCTGGCACCAGCAGTTGAGTCAGATGCCCGTGTTAACCTTCCGCAGCTCGTCTCAATGAGCAAGGGGCGGTCTAGTTTCAGGTGGCAAATGATTAGGGTATGGAGGCAAAAGGAGATGAAAGGGACCCCACTGCCACCACTACCCACATGTGGCTTTTCTACAGTGGAGGAGAAAGTTGAAGACCCATCTCTGCGGCTGGGACCACGGAGCCAGCGCGCAATTGCTGAAACATGCAGACAGAGGGGCATCTCTAGGCTTGAAACTTGAAATTAAGATTCTTTATAACCCATCTTTTCCACTCCAAAAGACCTTTTTTTCTAATGAGGAGACAAATGTCAGATTTGACTCATTCTTCATGAAACACAGCCCTGAAATGGAGCGCTCTATTTTAAGAATTGCCACCTACCACAAGGGACTTGAAGGATGTGACGGCTTTCAAAACCTCTTCATGATCTGCATGCGCCTCCTAGTGAAGGGAGAGAAAAATCCCTCAGCCACCAGCAGCAGCAGCAGCCACCCTATGCAGCACCCACCGCCCCAGTGCACCCAGGGCTGCAGAGCTCGCAGGGTGCTGAGGGATGCGGGGCCGAGGGTGCAGGCAGCATGGGCTGCAGGGGGGGCCAAAGTCCCCCAGGTACCTTCCTCATGTGACACGGTTTAAAGCAGCTATGCAACACATTGATACCAATTTAGTGAGTGTAAACTGGCCAGAGCAAAAGCAGACATGATTTTACTTGAACAACTTGGCTTGGAAAGAAAATCAATCAAAACAGGCAGAGGTGCAGGGTGGATTCCTAGTTTCACCTTCAGGAAGGAAATTTCCATTGGCATGCATGGTATTCCAGCCATTGCCCCATTAAGGGTGCCATTTCCACGAGCATCAATAGGAGCTCCATCTCCAGGTTTAAGGGAGGGCACATCTGAGCAGAGAGCTCTTGGGCCAGGGAGGGGAAAGCAGGATGCTGCCCCTTATCTCTGACTGCAGGTGCATGCTAGTATTCTCCTACCACCTTCTCCTGGATCTAGGGCCCTATATCATAAGCTCTTTACCATCCAGTCCTCATGCCAAGCAAATCCTAAGGCGTCTAGGTTTTGATGGAGCTGTCCCCGTGGCTGTCAGAGGCTGCCTGGGATCGCTCACCTCTGAATCTGGGATGAGGGCTCCGAACATCCCTGCCTCATCTCCAGCTGCGTAGCAGTGCAGGGAATGTTATGGTATGTCATATATCCACACCGCATACATCTATATTGCATATATCCATGCTCTTCCCACGGCATCGCAGCTTAAACCTCAACCCTACTGATTCATGCAACAAAACCCCCACACTCAGCTTAGAAACTAAGAGAAATAGGTGATGTGTGTGTCCCCAAATCCACTGCTGACCCCCACGCAGCATCCCGCAAAGAGCATGCTGTCTCTGTAAGGGCATGGTGACTGCAGCCAAGCTCAGCTCAGTCCCTGCAGCTCAGCTAAGCCAGGTGAGGGCAGGACAGGTCAGATCTGTAGTATGCCTACAGTGCAGGCTCTTATGCCCTCAACTATGCAGAAAAAACCCTGGCTCAAGCACAGAGGTTTTAATCCTCTGTCTGGGATGTGGGTTTGAATGATCATGGCTAAGTGTGTTGAGATATTAACTGGTAATTAATACTGGAAGAGGGAAAAGCAAACCGGGTTAAAAACAGACTGTTACTTCTGTTTTCTTCATCTCCTTGTACCACCCCTGAGGTTTGCATCCCCGCAGCTGGAGTGCAGCAGCAGACCAGTGGCAGAGCTCCAGCGGCAGATCTCTACAGTCCCCGCAGGGAGAAATATCCCAAAGCAGATCTGCCACTCACCGATGAAGTCTCTGTCCCCCTTCACTGCTCTCCCTGCTCCCAGGCACTCACTCCTCCACTCCCATGTCTGCACCAGCTGCCAGACCCATGTCTGTCCCTGCGGCTCTGCCTCCACGCAGGAGCACAAGCCTCGGGCAAGGGGTAGGGATGTGCCTCCGAGCTGCAGGAGCAAGCAGCAAGGGATAGGAATCTTACAAAATGGTAATAAAAACACTGATTTATTATCCGCTGTGCAAATAAATACCAGCTGTAGCCTGACCCTGAACTCTGCTTTTACTTGGGCTGGAAATGGCCCATCTTTGAGGAAGGGCTGGGGTGAAGAGCCGGCAATGCTTCCCACAATGTCCCCCAGACTCCTCCACTGTTTTCCCACTTTTAATCTCAAAGTTGGACAACCCCACAGAGGTGGGACACCTCCTTGGAGGGGTGGTAAGTACTTTTAGCAATGTGGTAATCAAATACCAATGGGCAGAGGTGCCTCTTGCAGCATCAAGAGGCACAGCCTGCCCAGCATCCCCACATCCCACCTACCTCCATGTGCCGCTCCAACTCCTGCAGCAGTGTCACATATTTATCCAGCCTCAGGAAGGGTTTGCTGAGGCTCGTGGTTAAGATGAGAATGCCTGGGTTGGCTGCACCCTGGCTCTCCATGAACTTCTCCAGCTCATCACTATAAATAGAGACAACAACAACAAGAAGGAGGGCTGAGGACTGTGTTTTGCTGCCTCCCACACTCTCCTGATGGCCGGGGCTTTGCTCCGAGCTGCGCCTTTTTAAAGGCAGCCCAGCCTCCCCTCTGAGCACCCCCTGCCACAACCCTGGCAGGGCACGCAGGGAGCTGTGAGCTTCCAGCCAAGCAAGACCCTTCTCCCCAGGGACACAGGGCAGGATGCTGCATGGTGGTGGGTGTTGGTGTGCACAACCTCTGAGGTACATTGGTGCCGGCAGCTGGTCCCCCTGCACAGTGAGGTGGCACAGGGCCAGGTGTCTGGAGGACAGTGTGGGCTGCAGAGGCTGGTGCTGTGCTGGAAGATGCTGCAGCAATGCTCTGGGACCCTGCTGGGAGCCGTGACGCAGGTGCTAGCGCATACATCACTCTGGAAAACATGGCTTGTGTGTGTCAGCACATTTGCCAAAGCTGACTCTTTGGTTCATTTCAGAAAAGGGGTCAGACTGAGGAACTACATGAATGAGTCATTTACATGAGCAAGGCTTTTTGTTAGGCTGAATTAAAGCTGGATTTCATCAGGTAAGCAAATATATTGTGAGTTCCCATTACAGACTGGGAAGACTTCAACAGTATGGCCAGGGTCCTGGCTTTCTCATCACTGCAGGGAGGACAGCTAAACTGCATCAGGATGACACAGCTGTAGCCTTTTGGCTTGCCATGGTCGTTAGCATGACATTACACAAATTCAAGTGTCTACGCAAGTGGGACATGATGTTATTACTGCAATCTATCAATGACCCTGCAAATCAACCACTTGGTTGAACAGCAGCTTAATTAATAAATTGTGTAACTCCAGGTGACTTGATGACCATGCAATGAAGTGCCCCACACCACAGGGCTATGGGGAGCGTACTCCCACCTGCACGTGTGTGAGCAGTGGGTCTGCAATGGCATCTGGGTCCTTTAGCAAGAGACAACCATAGGAGATGCTACTGCAGGGGCTGAGGTTGCCTCTGTTGTACCCAAGGTAAGAGTCCTGTATGTGCAGACAGGACCTGTGAGAACAGCTCTGAATGCAAGCAGTGTGAGTTGTCTCCACACTGGAGTTGAGAGGCTGTGCTGAAGAGCCCAAAGCCCCAGCAGTTTTCCCAGCAGCAGGATCCCATGTTATCCCCTTGCTCTATTGTTAAAATACAGGTCAAAAAGCCAGGACAGGCCAAGTATTAATAATAAAAGTAACTTTTTAAAGGAGGGATTTCAGTCTGAATCTCCTCCATCACTCACCTGTGTTGCGTGAGGACGTTGACTGCTGACGGGTGGTTAGCACAGTACGTCAGGTACAGGGAGCGGAACTGGGGCATCAGGTTCATGAAACAGCCTCCCACGCGCTGCTGGTTCTCAGGGAGCCTACGGACACCAACACACCAGCCACAACATTAAGCCTCTTGATCTCCGGTATCTGCCCAGGAACCACCTGCTGCACGGGGACATTTCCAGGTCACCACTTAACTGTGGCACCAAGCAAAATACCCATGCCTGCCACTTGGGAAGGAGGAAGCAGGAGGTCCTCAGATGGGTCTAGATTTATGTGGTGCAGACAGTGAGTATCACAACCTGTTATCAGCCTGGGACAAGGTGTGACACAGCCTGTGCCGTCCCACCAGCAGAGCTGCAGCTGGGATGCTGTAGCCCACTGCCCCTGATGAGGATGTGCTCGAAAGAACTGAGTGCAATGCAGGGGTGGTCCCACTGTCTGGGCTGTCCATGAATATGAGAGAGGAGATGGAGAAAGAGAAGCCACAGCCTGAATGTATTTCCAATATTCAGTGTTTTCCCCATCTCTTTTCAGGCCTCCAAAGAAGAGGCTGGGCTAAGGATGAACATGTCTGCCAGCCTCCCTGCAGGAAATTATCACTTCTAATAATTTGCTCTTTGCTTTCTGGCAATACCCATCTTCATGCCTGCCAGATCTCCTACCCTGCATGCACCTGCATCTTTGGTCTAGGTACGCTTTCATGTCAGGTCTAGTGACACTCTCATTCAGCAGTTGCCTTAACAGTAGAAATGTCAGTTTCTTCTACCTTCCCTCCTGCCAAAGCACTACCTGCTGCCTTTCTTCAATCCTGTTATTTTCTTCTGTATTTAACAAGCCTAAGACAGCAGCCAGGAGGAACATTAATGAACATGTCTTTCTATTATTTTTAGCTGCAGTTTAATAGCTTAACAACCTCAGTGCTACGGCATGAGCTTACTTTGCAACTTCTTCCAAGGCTTGGTTCAGTGTTTGCTGAAATGCAGAGATTTCTTCCACATTTCCCAGCAATGACGCAATGTCCACGGCGCTGAGCCTAAGAGAGTCAAATTGCCAATTATCATCAAAGAGATGTTGCTCTTAGGAGCACCCCCATGGTATTTGTAAGTGGTCCTTCCAAAAAGACCCAAGAATTTCTCCTTCCCCAGATACACCATCAAACATGGGAAAACACAAAATCCATGATCTGCAAGCTACAGACCACAGTCCCCGGAGAAGATGTCTGCTGTCAGGGATTATCTTAATTGGATTTTAATCACACTAATCTTCTCAGATGTTTAGCTGTCTAACAGACACAGACAGACGGGATTTCAGCCAGGGGTGGGGAGAGAGGTGTGTGCACAGACACAGAGAGAGCTTTGTCTTCAGGGATTCATGCTGTGGGTTTCCCTACGAGATGAGGGTCCTACAGAGCAGTCTCTCAGGTTGGGGTTGCTTTGTTCCTTGAGCAAGGTTGGATTTTTCCTAGCCAAAGCTAACGTGCCTGCTTCGGTCACCCTCAGAGCCATCCTCAGTCACCCTCATACCACCCTCATTTAAGCCATTTGCCACCCACAAGGCTGAGAGCACAAGAAATTTTCACAGCTGAATATATCCCACACGAAGATTTGGGGAAATTAGGAGAAATTTAAATACAAAGGCCTTAAGACACCACTCTCCCATCTCTCCGGGCTGGATGATGTCTAAACATGTGCCCTCCACCCATGATGCCCTGAGGCTGCCTGGTTCTCCTGCAGCATGCTCAGCCGGAGGGACCCTGGCCCCAAAGGCAGTGGCATGGACAGAGTCACCGAGATGGCACTCTTTGGAAGAAATGACTGTAAAGCTGAAGCAATAAGCAGGAGATGAAGTTAACTGCACCGGGTCTTTTATGCAGGGTGAAATCTGCTGATAAGTCACCAGCGCACTGCCTGTCGTTGCCTAGGTAAGGAAAGGATGATGTCTACTGCCTCTCCACCAGAGTGGCCAGCACAGACAGAGAACACATTGGCTTATTTCCACAGGTAAGCCCTGACAAAGTCCCCCACTTGCCCCAGCGCTGCTCAGGCCATAAGCGATGGCAGCATGCTCTTCTCGAGCTTGGATGTACTTAATGCCAATGGATGCGCAGACAGGGAGACAGGGGAGTCATTTCTTGCTCAGCAGCAGTTTAGATTTAGCAAGAGGCAATCTAACCCCACAGAATACGTGTCGTTGTGCGTGAAATGAAGAGATGACTAGGAGATGCCACTTGGGGCTGAGAAGTCACAACAAGGCAAATTACATGGGGAAGAAGCCATGCAAGGCATAGTGCCAGCAAACATGCATGCTGGGAGAGCCACATAAGAGCTTGCACATGGGTTGTAACAGCCAGCCCTCTACCACATGGTAATGCCCATCTCTAACACGGCCCAATGCCTGCACGATCACTGAGGAACGGGAAAGAGCAGAAACCTGTACAACATAGGCTTTTTTTCTGGTTCACAGAGAAGCTGTGAGGCTTTACAAGAAGAGCAGTGAAAGTCCCTAAACATTCAAAAGCAGGAAAGTAAGGAACTATGGTTGATTTCACAGGGTTCTGTCCACCTCAGATGCCCTTATATCTTACTTATCATAAGACTGGAGGGGTCTTAAGTAAGTTCCCAGAAGTGACTGTAGTTCCTTCGCATAATCTCGTTCTGTTTCCAGAATATTTTGCAACACCTAGGGTGAGAGACAGAGCACTGAGTAGATCTTTGTACTAGCGACCAGTCAAAGGAACATGACATCAGCTTCCAAGTGTGGAAAAGCATGGAAGCGTATTTTAAGTCCACAAATTACATTTGTTAATGCAGAACCCAGAACGATCAGGAAAGCCCTGGGGGGTCCAATTTGGGGATTTTACTTTGCAAATGAGGGGGAGGCCTGGAAAGCAGGTGTTAAGGTCTGCTCCTTCTTCTCTGGCAAAGCATGAAGACAATGTCAGTTCAGACCTGAGTTTAGTATTTGACCCCCGAGAGGCTCATGCCTAACCCTGCATGCGTAACTGGCTGCCAAGGTATGCAAACAAATGATTTGTGCATGCATCCTGGGAGCACTGTTTGCACGAAGGCAGGCAATAATTTGATGCAACAGTGGCCAGACCAAGGACGGCTCTTGCAGCAGCTCAAGCCAGCTCACTTGCCACTTCAAGGATGTGCTGTGTTGGGTTTGGTCCTGCTAATCCATCTCAGCAGCCAATTCGTCTCCGGCAGCAGGGTAGGCAAACCCACTGCCTGCACGCTCCCAGTTAGCACTCAAGTTTCTCAGTCTGAATGAGCTTTGGAGAGAGTGGAGCTGGTTCCCAGCTCTCTGGACATACTATTTCTGCTTTGCTTTGCTTGAAATATATTTAGACGTGCTGATGAGCACGTTTCACCTCTGGCACCAAGAGCCAGGGATGTTCACATGCAGGCGTTTTCACTCTTTTACACCACAGGGTTCGCTCTAGCCTGGACACAGCACGAAGGTACCTGCCCCCCTTTGCCAGACCTCGCCACTCCAGTAGCAAGACAGTAGAGGAGGTGATGTTTCTTCACCCCTTCTGCAGCCACAGCTCATAGCCTGGAAGGCTGACCTGTGCGAAAGCCAAGCCCAGTTAACACGCCAGGCTGTGAGCTGCGGTGGCTGCCCCTTTTCCCAGGGCTGCAGCTTCTGGCAGAGGCACAGGGTAGGCAGCTTGGGCTGTAACATCTCCAGCCAAACCCAAGAAAGTGATCACGGATGAGAGCCCTAATTTGGCTTGCTTCACACCATGATATTATCTCCCCGTCTTCATCAACAGGAGATAGCCTGAAGTCAATGGCAAGGACTGGACCAGAGACATCGTGCCTTATTTCCCCAAAATTGATCTCAAAACTGCCACCTCTGCTTATTAGCTCAGTCGCCTACTTTGAGACTCTCTTTCTGACATATTGCAGCAACTTCCATTTGTGGTTTATTGTCTCGACAGCCCCGAATCAAGGAAATAGCAACAGCTGCATTTAAACACAGTCATATCCCAAATTTTGCAAATTGCTTCAATGATTTCTAAAGGAAAGAGCCAGTTGAGAAGATTAATAATATGCTACTTATTAAAATGTATGATCAGCACTTTAAAACTTACCACAGGGTAATAATTCTTTGTCAGCTGAGTGCTTTCAAGTCCTTTTAATGCTTTGGGAGAGAGTGGTTTATCTGTACAAAAAAATACATCAATAAATTACAGTGCACAGCTCTGATTATTCCAGCAGGCAAAGCTATTGCCGCATCATGTCCAGCAAACAAAACTCCATCCCTGCAAACACAAAATTTCAATTGCAGGTTTGTTTACCTGCTTCAGAAAAACTAGGAGCAAACCGAAGGCATGCATGACTCTGAAGGCAGCCAAGCGAGTCGCACCAGAAACACTGCACAGCCTCTGCCAACTAACTTACAGGTTTGCGCTGAGATCCCTGGCAACAGCCCAGTGTCTGGCACTGTTTGGAGCTACAGTGTGGCTTCACTCGGCCCACAAAATTTGGGTTTTAAAACTGGGTGTCTATCAGAAATGCTGGATACAGTGATTTGTTCCAGGTGATTCACAAGGCACTTGAAGCCAACACCAATATGCTGAACTCCGACCCCTGCAGTCATTTGTGATGCAAAATCCTTCTCTGAATGAAGGTAGATTTGAATAAAAAGCTCACACAAACCTGAAAGTCAATTCTCATCTTCTTCTGCATTTGCTAAATCCCCGCGGATGCCTCCAGCACGGTACAGAGATGCACACAAACACATGCACAAGTCCCTGCTCCATTTTCCTTCCCTAAAGAAGCCCATTCCCTTCCAGCAGCACAGCTTTGCCAGCTCTCCTGGCACTGCAGCAGCACCATTACCCCTCTGGACTGGGACATGTCAGCAGCTCAAGGGTGCGCCACTGGCCCTGGCCATGCTGCACACCTCATACTGAAATGCTTCTGTGCTGTGTAGAGCAGCCAGTCTCTCCTTTCTCCTGGTAATCACTCACAGAAGGCAATTACTTTCACACTGATAGCAGGGGAGAAGCTTGAAATTGATAAATTTAGCCCCTGGAAACCGCAGCTTGATGTATTGTCTAATTATTGCCCTTGTAGAGTTTCCTGTCACTTCCAGCCGAGAGCTCTGTGCCTCATTTAAAGACTCGGAGGAGCTTTGCTCCACACAGCTAGTTATTTCCACCCAAAGGGCATGCTTAGGACACAGTGGAGGTACAGACACTGCTGAAAAAACAAGTAACTCCATTTAGAGCAACAAGTCTCTCACTTTGGAGGCAAGGAAAGCAGCTCCTGCTGGCTTGCAGCAAGGGCTCCCCGCTGGACTACAACTCCCAGGCAGTGGTCCTGGGGCAGGAGAGGGTTAGCTGATGGTCCCTGCATCCATCATTTGCAATACTGCCACATGTCCTGAGCAAGAAGAGATCAGGGTAATGAACCTGACTCCTCTATGAAACAGGTGCTGGAGGTAGCTCTGCAGATAAAAAAATCTGATGGGCTCATACATCAGGATCAATGACAGACTTGTCCTTTGCTTCATTGAGGTGCTGTTATTTCATGCAGCTCCCATCTGATTCTCCCCATAGGGCTGAAGTTTGCTCTCCTTTTTTTTTAAAACATTTCTCTTCTCCACTCACTGACTTAATCAGTGATTCCTGGGTTGTGCCAGACAAGCCTTCAATCTCTGCTGTAACGTCCTGCTCCAGCTCAGACATCATTCCCCCGAGGGAAACAGTGGGAGATGAAATATCCTAACAATGATTTTTTCACTTAGAATTAAATAAAAACTGGCCTAATTCTGAGCACTCTCTCATTAATTTTATTCTTTCCTCCTTTGCTTTTGCTTGCAAGTGTGGGAGCAAGGATGTCCAACAGGGGTCGTACATTTTGCAGCCACACTGCAGACCACGGCTGACGTCTCACAGTGTTTGAGACAAGGGCTGGTCCTGAGCCATAAAACCAGCACGGAGCACATAACAGGTCTCTGTCTAGGGTAAGCCCTCAAAGCACATTAAGGAATTAAAGTTGGATTTTGTAAATAAACAAGATTACTGTCACACAATGGCCTTGGAAGCACAATGGGGTGAGCTGCTTGAACGGATATGTACACTACAGGGCAGTTCGCCAGCGGCATGCTTCATGTCATCACCACCCCACATCTGGTTAAAATCACATTGCAGAAAATGTTAAGGACACTCAAGACAAAGCTCCATAAAGGCAGATGTCATCAGATGGATCTTCCCCTCCCTCTTCCTTTCTCCATATCGCACCAGAAGATGCATCTGGGGGAAAATGTACTATGTGAAATCAGCCATCACTATGGACAAAACCAGGGGACCATTCCCTGTGGCCATATAGTTTTTGTTAGTTTCCTCACTGTGACTGTGAGCATACATTCCACCACTGCCACAAACGGCAGGATCAAACGCAAACACATTGCTTAACCGAGGTCTCTTAACAAAAAGCTAATTCTGTGCTCAGATCGACCTGGCAGTTCCTCAGGACAAAGGGGATCCACACAGCCATCTCCAGCCTCATCCTCTGGCAACATCCCCGCTCCTGTGCTGCTGGGGCTTGGGGGAGTGATAGAAAGGCAGGATGCGCTGGGGAAGAGGGTGAAGCAGCTCTCAAACAACTCATGCGAAAGACTAGGCTTTACCCTTCCGGCCTCACTCATCCTTCCATTAGCCCTGCTGCTATAAGGACACAACAGTCCTCAATAAATAGCAGCAGTTTCCCAGAGGCACAAGGATTATACCGCTGTCGTTCAATCAGTCCTTGAAAGCAATTTGCTTACCGGCAGATTTGATTTCTCTGACGTAGTTGCTTGGGAACCAGCCTGTTTTTCCATTCAAGGTCCCTTCCCACCAGCCCCCTTCTTCAACCCGGGTGACATAAATAATGTCTCCTTTGTTAACAGAGAGTTCATCCTCATTGGTCTGCTTAAAATTGAACCTGGCCTTTACCACCAGCTGATGACTGCCATTCTCGGTCATCTCCTAAGGAAAGAAACATGGAAAAACATCAGTAAATAGTCCAAAAAGGCAGAAGCCACTAGGACAAGCCATTGTTCTTTGTTGTGACAGCTGTTTTTTCAGTATTGCTCTTTATAACAAGCAATAATGTCTTGCTTTTGTGTAACCACTCCTGCCAGAGGACCACAAGGTCCCTCCCAAGCATTAATTTAGTTTCACAGTGTAATGGACGGCAGATAAGAATCACTCTCCTCATGTCCCAGAGAGGAGCAGCACAGTTTGGAGAAGCCACGAGACTCTCTCCAGCTGGGGCAGCAAAGCCATGATGGAGATCAGGGAGAACAAGCCCCTCTGGCATGCTCGACCCAGGGGTACCACTCATACCCCTCTACCCCCGCAGCCACGAACCCCTTGATGAGATGTTAAATAAAGGATACCACAGGCTTGGACTGTCTCCTTAACACCCTCGCTGATTGTGAAGCTGTGCTGTTGGAGTCAGCGTGGGGACCTCCAGCCGCAGAGCTAAGAGACAATAGATGTGAACATGGCCCTTTTGACAGCTGATCTGGTGAGGCAAAAACAACATCTGAGTTTTACCCAACTGTCCACCATCCCTCTGAATCAGAGCAAAGCAAAGAGTAAAGTCTGTAAAGAAAACAAGAACAGGGCACAACAGTTGAAAGAGCATCTATCAGAGCAAGATAGCAAGTGCACTGCATCTCCAGTGTGGGCAGTCCTAGTCAACAGTGAGGATGGTTTTGCTGGGCTGGGTTAACCCCTTCCATGATGGAAGAAGTTGAATTACATCCCGAGGCACTCCTAGGTTATGCTGGCTCTGCAGCCACACATCCAGTCACAGTATTTTTTTTTAAATACCCCTTAAATTGTAAAAAACCAGAATACTACTCAGCCCAATGCTGCCCAACTGGGAATGTTTCTGGGATCCAAATAAGCACTGTTGAAGGTGTTTCAAAGTTTAGCTCACAAGTGAGTGCTCTTAGGTCACCTCTGCAGCTGCATCGTGGGCTTCCCCGCTGAGTGGGGAAGAATGCTGAACAGCTGGTCAACACAATCGCTCCTCTATTTAGATAAGTCCTTCTGGGTTCATTATACAGCTGAACGAGGCCAGGCACAATTTTGATTACTGTTCGTGGACCGTTGCCATTACCATGTGAGAGAGGGATTCAGATCGCAATGAGGAAGGTCAGGAGTGTCACCCCCAGGAGATGGACAGCCCACGGAAATGCTCAGACCATCCCAGCAGCTCTTGGAGTTGTCTCCTTCACACGCTCAAAGCTCACCATTTTGCAAACTAGTCTCTGGGCTTGCTCCTCACACCATCTGCCTGATGCTGGAGATAATGCTGCTGCTCTGATACAGATCTGTTTTTCATGATTAGTGATTTGTTTCTATATTGATATCAAAAAATTTGCCAGAGGGTAAAAAGTTTCCTGGTCACAACTGCGCTGTGCTGAGATTGAGTCAGTAGCCTCATCACCAAGATGATCCACCCAGGATCCTGCTTGGATGCTGTAGAGTGGTAAAAACATGGGATTCGAGCCACCTAGTAATTCCCAGTACTTCTTTGCTACTGTACCTCATACCACACCGTAGGACGACACTCAGATCACCTCCCTTCTATGTGTCATGGTGCTCAAATGAAGCACTGGCAGACATTATCTTTTCAGATTTGCCTTGTGACTTATTTTCACATTTAAGAACATTTCTGTATCCCAGAGCTGTTGTTTTCCACCTGTGGTGTGGATCTAGCATGCCCATGGGCCTCAAAAGGAGGACAGAGAAGAGCAGTCTGCAGGCATCACTTTGCTGGGTGTGCAAGTCCCCTGGATAACATTTAGAGTTCTTTGAAAATGCTGCAAGAGGAGAGGGTGATCAAGCCACCAAATGCACGCAGGAATCACAAAACACAAACTCTAAGGCTGCTGTTCCCCCATTCTCCTCCAGTCCGAATGTCAACATGGAAAAATCATTCCAAAGGGGAAGTTTGGTGGGAGTTACAGGAACTCAGCTGGGCTTTTACTCCCCCTTGAGGGTTTTTGTTTTAAGAGGAAAATACCTCATCCTTAGACAGGACCTGGAGCAACTGTGAGCTCTTAGAGAATAGACTTGCTTTGTCTCCAGCGCCTTGCACAATGGGGACCAGGTCTGTGACTATGACTTCCAAGTGCTGCTGCCTTACAAACCCCAACCATACCATACCCACACAACGGTCTGCCCAGTCCCTGCTCCAGTGGTGGACAACATTCACGGTAGAACTCGTGTGCTGTCAGTGAGTCAGTTTTCTCTCTTGTCCTGCTTGTTACACAACTGCCTGAGAATCGCATGGTGAATTCCCAGCTCCTTGGGCTGCAGCAACAGCAAAACCCCTCTGCATGGAAACCCCACTTTTCAAACAGAGAGCATTTTTTTTCCTTTGAAGCACCCTGATATTTAAGCAGGAGCAGTTTCAGCTGCTCCTGGCAACTCACAGGCCAGGAGGGGTGGCCGGCTGCCAGCGTGAGATGTTCTTCCTTCTAAAAAGGGAGGGCGTTAACCGCGAGTCCAGACTTCTCCACTTATTCAAGCCATCAGCAACAGTCCCACGGAAATGACTTGGTTACTGTAGATTTTATGCTTCTCCCTGCCCCTCCCAATCTTCCAAAGCTTTTAAAAATATCTGCAGCAACCTAGAAACAAATGTAAAACTGACTTTGACAGTTTGGCAGGGAAGCGTATCATTTATATTGCATCATGACAGCATCCTATTTTATGCCTGGTCCAGCATGGAACACTGCTGCCATATGTTGCTTAAACTACAGTTAAAATAGCTGGGTTTTCTGCTCACATTCCTACACTATTTTTGGCAGATGAGCCTTGCCTGATCCAGCACAGCTGGTTTTCCTCCCCTGCCCTCTCTTTCAGATAAAAGCATCAAGCTCTGTATTGCTATTATTTGATGGACAGCTGCTGAACTCTGAGTTTATCTGCTACAAACGATGCCTCTAGTTATTTGCATAACAAGATCCATGATGACGCGAGGATTTGGACGTCAAATGGATGCTCAGAAACACATTCCCACAGCATTTCCTAAGCTGTCACCTACTTCCCTCTGCCTCCAATAAGGGTGTCGGGATGCAGCAACTCTGCGGGTGTTGGGATGTGCAGGGATGCCAGAGCCCAGGCCATAGGAGGAACTGCAGTAGCCAGTACCAGGCTTGTCCTGATGCTCCATACAGCCCTTGGCCTCTGGCGAGATGGACGAACCAGACCATCTGCAGTGGCAGTTTGTAGGACACAGGCTCTCGCTTCTCAGGAATGTGGCCAAGCCACCAAAAAGCAAACGTTTTAGACATGTATTTATTTTACCCTGTACTTTTCTCAAGGGTGCGCTCTGTCTGAGCAGCTGATTATATCACAGGCATTGCGCTTTTTAACATTTAAACAGAGAAAGCATATGTTCAAACAGATGTTTGCCATGAAACCAAGAGGATCCCAGCTTTCCTATAGCCCCATCAGTAACATGTGATAAAAACTATTCCCCAGCAAAGCCACGTCCCAAGCTTCACCCAGTGACTGCAGGGGTGAGCAGGGACACAGGTGGCTGCAAGAATAGAGCTGGGGCTGTAAATAAGGGGACTGCTGTGACAACTGCACCATGGCCTTGCTGCCTCATAGGCACACAACCCATCACAGCCCTCTGGTCCAGCGACGGGATGGGCAAGCACACAGGCAGGAAATTTTCTCACTCTTTTTGCTTTCAGAATAATGAAGCTAATTCCATCATAATGACAGTATTTGCAAAGGTTGCTCCCGGTCTAGGTAACCTGCATTTTATATCCCCCATCATATTGAACCGCAAGAGCTTTCTACATGGGGTCATGGGTGCTGTCATTTAATGGAGCTGTAAGAGGCTGTAGGGAGATGTTCTGAGGCTGAATTACCATTCACTGACTTCCAGGGAGTGAGCTGGCGGCAGGACTGAGTACTGGCTGCAGAAAAGCAGCCTTACTTCTTCAGAGCAGCATTATACACTCATACACACATACACACACGTGCGTGTGTGTGTGTACATATATATACTATTATTATTACACATATATATTATTATACATTATACACTATTATGTTGTTATAATATATATGTTGCTGTTTCTATAATATATACATGATAATGTATACAATAGTTTATATAATGTATAACTATAGTATATATTTTACATATATATGATTTTATAAAACTTTGCATCAGAACAGAAAAGAGGAAAAAGGGAGGAGAGGATCCAGTCCCAGAAATGAGGTTGTTTCACTGAACACCTGAGCAGCCTCTGTACTAGCAGAAGAGAACCCATAAGCAAAAACTCAGTTGAAAGAGAAGCAAAACAACCATAGAGAGAAAATCACCATACACCAAAACTAGGCAAAACGCAGTAAGCCAACAGAAAACTGGGAAAATCATGGGTTTGGGTTTTGAATTTTTCTCATTTTAATTGCCTAAAATGTAATCTGCAACAAGGAAACAGAACTCTTCCCCCAGTGCTGTATTTTGGTGAGTGTGCAGGACTCTGTGCAAACCTGTTTGTATGGTAAGGGGCCATAAATGCTTTCCACCCTGCACTCTTCCCAGCTCCATACAGCTCCAGCTTCCTCATCGCCTCAGAAAAGAGACCCTGGTCCTCTCAGCCCTCCCCAGAGCACCACGCTGTCATTGTCCACCCCATTGAACTTCTCCTTTCACAGCCTAAGTGACTGAATATCAGTTTAAAGCAGCCTGTGGGGACCAGCTACGTATTTGGGATGGAAACAAGAGGAGCTGACTTGCGTTCCTTCAGCAGCCTGCTCCTGCACCCAGGGAGGCAGGGCAAGCCATCAGCTTGATTCCCAAATCCGGAAGCCTATTCCACGGACCCAGGGAGAGGAGAGAGAGAAACATCAATACAATTGACTAAGCATCTGGCAACGATGTTTGTTTTGACATTCAGTAAAGATATTGTGCAGATGGATCTGTTTTTCTCTTCGCCTTTAAAATGTGCTATTTAAAATCTGATATTTGCATTTTAAGAGGTGCATGCTCATTTACATGGAGGCTCCTTTACAATGACCTAATTTGAGATCCCTTAATACTGTCAAAACTGAGCAGAAGTCCCTTGGTGTAAAGTAATAATAATCAATTCTGCAAAGTGCATACAGCAACCCTGGAACACTACCTCTAAACCCAGAGTTGGCGGAAGCATGAAATGTCGATCCCACCATCCAGCATCAGGCATTGGTGCTAGCAGCAAAATTTGCCAAGCCTACAGAAATCATCATAAACTAGGAATTACAAAAAAACCCCACCAACCCCAGCATACATATAAGACAGAATTTGAAAAGGCGACAGAAAAAAACCTTTTTTCTTACCTTCAGTAGCTTTATTTACAGCTGTTAATGTACTCAGGACTTTGGAGAACTGTTCTCCGGTGTACAAATCATGTGGATCAAACACCTGCGAAAGAGGAACTTGGTCAGTTGAGCCTGAAACATCTCACTCTGGACATCTGAGCAGCCCACGCAGAGGGTGACAGTGAGGATTAGGCAGCCCGTATGTCTCTGCAGGTGAAGGGTCAACAAGTCCCATTTCCTCTATAGCAAGTGAATTCCTGGGGTGCCATGGCAGGCGGTGTGGGAAGGGCAGGGGGACCCAGCAGCATTTGGAGTGTAACGCTGGGGACAGGGAAGGAAGAAATCAGTTCTGTCTGCAGAGCAGGGACTCCTCTGAAAATCAGAGAAGGTTATTGCTTGCCTTGAGGGAAGGAAAGATTTTGCTGCTATTTTTGTATCAAAAGCTGAAAAGATTGAGGCTGTACATACACGTATGTATATATACACACACACGTACTTTCCACAGCAGAAGAAACAAACACACAGAATTTTCTGCTATTGCAATATGGCATATATAATATATTTACACTTTTTTTACAGGAAGCCAAAACCAGTTATTCTATGTGCAAAAATTCTGCTCCAAAGAATTTTGTGTTGCTAAGCCTCGGCAGCAAAACAGACATACAGAGTTAGCAAGGGCTTCTTTTCTATGACGGGTAACTTGGAACTTGTACACCTAGCCCTCCAGAAACGACCACCAGCACCATGAGGGGCAATTTGAGTTTCCAAAACACTGCAATCCCCTCTAACACCTGAGAAATGCCCTCAAGTTCATACAGACTGTACAGATCCTACCATTAATGAAGCAAAGAGAGGTGATACAAAAAGCCTCCATTATTGGTACCACGAAGGCACCATCTGCTAATCCCCAAATCCACGTTGTCTTGCAGATGGAGACCACAGATCCACAAATCCAGAGAACAGGAAGGATGCTTTTAAAGCTCTCCTGGCAGACACCAGCTACTCACAAACACTTCCAATGAACTAAAAAGTGTATCCTGCCAAATAAGTGCACGAGCCTTAATTACCTTTAGGGCAGTACTGCCCTTTAAAATGTCCCTTTCTTGCTTTCCACATACAGCTCCTTGAGTACACTTGGCATATTTCAAATAGGAAAGCGATTGGCCTCTTCCGCAGCCCTGGATGCTTGCGGCATCTCTTCCTCTCGACTGACACATCCGTGCAGCAATGAAGTCTAATACAGGCCGTACAAAGGCTGCTCTTTGTTGAGAATGTATCTAAAAACTGACTCAGCCACTCAGTACTGGGAGAGAGGCTTTACCCCAAAGAAATTTAATCCATGCTCAAAGGGGGAACAGCCTGCTGTCATTACAAATAATAAAATCAGTAGCTCTGCAGCTCCAACCGTAGCTACCACTCTGCACATCCCCACCTACCTTGGGCTGTTTCTGAGCTGATCTGTCACCTGCGCTCACTTGGGTTTGCGCCTTTGGACCACGCAGACCCCATCCCCTCTGCCAGCTGGTGCGTGAACTACTTTTCCTGCCTTGCGACTGCAGCCAGCGCTATCTGAGCATCGCCTCCAGCCCTAAGCAGCAACGTTAGCATCTCCGTGGAAAGGGAGACGGTAACGGAGAGCCCGGGCGAGTGCTGACCCTGTTGGCAGCCGCTGGAGGATGTAACATTACAGCAACGCACCTTCACCCTTCTGCCAAGCAGAAGACCAAAGGAAACAGCGAGGCTGGGATGTTTGCGTGCATCTCTCTGGTGTGTCATTTTCTCGGTGGTAAACTTTTTCTTCCACTTCAGTAAGTCCAGAAAAACAAGTCCTGCCTGAATGAATGGCATCTTTTCTTTTTTTTTTTTTTTTTTTTTAAAAAACGACTAAAGTAGTAAAAATACAGCCCTGATCCTTCAATGCACAGAATAATGCTGTAAGGTCAGAGTCATCAGATCAACAAAGTCCAGAGGAAAACGGTGGCGGGAGGGATATGCAAAAAATTCTAGCACAAAAGCAAGCAATAACTTTCCAGACTTTTCTTCATGGAGAAATTGTCTGAAATAGCTGCTGTGGAACAATGGCTATGTGGAAAACTCTTCTGGATCGGCTACTGTAATGTAAATATACTCTGCACCTTGCTCCAGAATAAATTCATCATACAGAAAAGTCCTCATTTATGAGCTAAAAATTACTTTTTCCAGCACAATCCATCCATAATTCCATTCCTAACTAAAAGACAAGCTGCAAGGCTAGAAGGAAAACAGACAGGGGAAAGGCTTTTTCACTCTTAGCTCATGGAAGATCTGGCAGACATAAGTAAAACCCTGCTTAAATCGATGGCTCTCATCTAGGGATCTCCGTTAAAATGCTTTTCCGACTTTTTGAACCACAGACTGCGGCTCCCCTTGGTGAAACGCTCCGGCTGCTCCATCAGCATCACACCGGGACAGAGAAAACCTGCACCGCTGCACCACCAGTCCTCCTCCGCAAGGCAGCGAGAAGGTGAGGAGGGGCCGGTGCTCGCAGACTAGAAGACCACCCAGCTTTTCGGAAAGGACGAAAAATCAAACCCAGGTGCATCCAGCAAGTTACCAGCACCCAAAACCCCAGCACAAGGATGGGAGAAGCAGAAAAGTTTGGGGAGGCCGGGTTGTGTTTCAAGCCCGAGCTGTCGTTATCTGCACGAACCGTTTCCACAGCCAGACAAAACCGCGGCGAACCCCGAGCTGGCTGCAAAGCCCCGGGCTCGGCGCGACCGCGACCCTTCATCCAAACC